CTCTAAGTTTTATTTGTTGTTGTTCCTCTGGTTCTTGTAGGTGTAGGTTTAGGTTGATTATTTGAAATGTTTCTATCTTTTTTAGGTAGGCCTGGTTTGGTATGAATTTCCCTGTCAGTACTGGCTTTGCTATGTCCCATCGGTTTTGGACTGTTGTGTGTTCATTTTCATTTGTTTCCAGAAACTTTCTGATTCCTTCCTTAATCTCATTATTAACCTGTTCATTGATTAATAGCTTGCTATTCAGTCTTCATGAATTTGAATGTTTTTGAGTTTTTCACTTGAGGTTGGTTTCTAGTTTCAGGCCCTTATGGTTAGATAAAGTGCTTGATATAATTTCATTTATCTTGAATTTACTGAGGCTTGTTTTGTGTCCTATTAATGTGGTCTGTCTTTGAAAATGTTAAAAAATATTACATTTGTAAATATCACCATTGGTTTTTATCAGAAAATTTTCAAGTTAGCAGGGAGCTGTCAAGGTCATGTTTGATAGATCCATGTTGTTCAAAATTCTCATTTTGGCTCGAAAGCTCCAGTTTTATCATTGGGAACAAATCAAACACTTGTTTTCTAGAAATGATTGATTCACTTTTTAAAAAATTATTTCCATAAAATTGTTATGTTAAATAACCCAGTCTGAATAGTCATTGTTAGTTTTTTTTTTTAGTAAAAATGATGTTCTGTGAAAAAAGTGGCTAGTTCAGCCTGCATTTGAAATAGTCACACAGTGTTTCCTCCAAGGTAACCATCTTATTTCAGGGTACACTTGAAATGTTTATGCACATACAGAATATTCAAGAGATGTATACTCATGGGTAAAACTGGCATTTTTGTTTTTAACCGACTGCATGGTGGTGAAGAACACAGTAAATACAGTATAGTTTGCTGTCACTGCCTTGATTTGTGTCATGGTGCCAGCCCATTACCATCACACCAACTCTGCAAATATCAACACAATGTCAAATAATGTGCTAGTATTTTTAGGAAAAATTTTTTGACCATGCAGATTTTTTGAAAGGGTCGCAGTTACTCTCCGAGTTTTGTAGAGTACATTGAGTACTGCTGGCCAGTAACAGTCTTATCATACCAGAAAGGGAGGAAACTGTCGAAGACTAGGATCATATCAAAAGAACTGAGGAGCCAACTTGACGAGACATTCATTGATTAAAGATGGGACAATTTGAGCATTGATAACTACCCTGGGTAAAACATATCAAATGTGTTTAAATATGTAAGTTCCTACTGGTACACGAAACTAAAATACTTCATTGGTTATCTGGAGAAGATTTTAGGAAATGAAATCATTCTTCTAAAAATTGATAAATATAGATAAATAAAAAAATCTAGCATTTATTTTCCTTTTATTTGATGAACTGTACCTCTGGATAATCAGAGATTTTTCTCTCTATGGAGTAATCCTAATTAGCACACAAAGAAGGAATGGAATGATAGAGTACATTATTTTCAACCCTTAATGTAATATTGGATCTAGGCAATGATGCCCAGTGACTGCTTATATTACAATTGTATTTGCTTCCTATGGAAGATTATAGTAGCACACATAAAGAATTCATGCCACCAAATCAGACCTTAATCAGATTAGGCTTTAAATTTAACTACCAGTTTACAGAAAATATGGAGGATAGACAAATATATTAATGTTACCATGGGTGTGTAATTGGCAAAATCCAGAATGCTGGAAACTATAGGACAAACCACCCAGATTCGTTAACAAATACATTGTGAGGGGAAAAAAAAGAGTGATAAGAAACATCTAGATTAGAAGACAAATGGAAAGAAGGGATAGGGTCAAGTCAAGCAACATGTACAAAGGACCCGTGGACAAAGACAACGGGGGAGGAGGATTGAATGTGGGAGGTTGGGGTGGGCAGGGCAGGGGAGAATAATGGGGGAGAAATGCGGACAGCTGTAATTGAACACCAATAAATTAAGAAAAGGCAAATACAATGTGTAGACCTCATTTGGTTTCTGATTTGTACAAATTAACTGTTAATGAGAGAATATGAATTTGGGAAGTTTGAACTATGACTAGAGTTTTAGATTAAAGGATTATTGTTACTGCTTTTGGTACAGTAGTGCTATTGTAGTTATATATATTTTATTATACATATTTTAAAGAGTTCTTATTGTAGAAAATAGATAATGCCAATTACTTATATAGGAAATGATCCCTTTGAGATTTGCTTCAAAATTAGCCAGTGGGCTGTGTGTGCCCGCAGGTAGGTGTGTGTGAAATGAGATTGTCCCTGAGGTGGTGACTGTTGGAGCTGGGTGATGGGTATGCAATGGTTCACTGTCCTGTTTTGTCTCCTTTTGCTCATGTTCGGAATTTCCCATAATGTTGCTGTTTCCACTCACTCAGATTTACAACAACAGTTTTAAGGAATCATTTCTCTCTTCTGAGATATTGGAAGAAAAAGAAAATATATGAAAATGTTACTTATTTTCCTCACTGCAGAATTTTTTATTTAAAAATATGAAATATCTCTGAAAACCAAAAGGATAGAGCATAATATTATAAACAATCACCCAAGAAATAAAACTAAAAATGTGATGTGTACAATTGTCTAGTAACATTAATCTCCCTTACCTGAATTTGATGTTCATTTCCATGTGTGTATCTCTCTCTATAAAAACATATTTTCTTACATATATACTGTAGAATACACTAAAGAATATATTGTATTCAGTGTGTATGTTTTAAAACTGTTAATGAAGTACTGTACATATCCTTAAAGTTTTTTGGGTTATGTTTTCATTTGGAGATTTATACATATTAATACATATTTTCATTTCTATACTATGCTAACTGAAAAATTAAGAAATAATGCATTATTTTATTTGAAATTGTGTATTAGGTACATTATTTTACTTTAAGTGGTTTATCAGGTACATATGCTCAATATATATATGTATTTCAACCTCCAGGTATCTTTTCAGATAAAGTACCTCCAAATTTGAAGCATTGGGCATAGTTGTTAATCAGAAAAATATGTAATAAATATACTGTTTTCCATATGTTTCCAGATATTTTTGTTCATTCCAGAATATAGCTGTGTATTGCCTATTCTGTGCATGCCAATATTTAAAAAACTGGGTGTATAGAATATGGCATGCAAGGTCTCTACCTTCATGGAATTTACATCATTTCAAATAGTGATGAAATTTACGGGTACATTTTAATATTGGAAGCGGAGGGTCTGATGGAGAAGTGGGGACGTCTTCAGGTAGTGACTTGAAAGGAGGAGTCAGCCACATGAGAGGTGGAAGAAACCACCCTTGATGTCGAGAGGACAGCAAGACCTTGAGGTTGGGGCAACCTTACTGAAGGCCACTGGGACTGGACCCCAGTGCATAACACTAAAAATAAAGTGTTAGAGGTAGATGGAGTCCAGATGGTCTAGGGATGGTTAAACTGTGATAAAATAGTAAGATTTTACTAAAAGTCTGGTGGGAAATCATTGAAGGGTTTTTAGCTGGATAGCAACTTCATTAGATTTGTGTTTACACAAATCTATGTGATGATAAAATGTCTGAGAACTGTATGCTTTCTAGTATCAGTTTCTTGGTTTTGCTGTTATTCTATAGTTAGGTAAAATTTAACCATTGAGGAAACTAGGTGAAAGGTCAGGGACCACTGTACTAGTTTTGCAATTTCCTGTGAGTCTTTATAATTATTGTAAAATAGAAAGTGAAAAAAAAAAAACAACCCCTCACTGTGAAATGGATTACTGGGCAGCAGGAATGAAAGCAGACTGGTTAGGAGACTGTAATCTCCTAGTGAGAGATGATGATTGCTTGGCTTTAGGCAGTAGCAGACATGGGTAGAGAAGCAGATGGATTTGAGATATTGTAGAGATGGAACAGGTTTTGGGTTGGTGTGTGGAAAAGGAGGTCTGTATTTTTGTCTTGATCAACCGATGTTTTCATGTAAGTTTGGAAAAGTTAAGATTGGGAGAGGAATAGGCTGAGAGAAGAAAACAGTTTTTTTTTATGTTGGGCTTGTTAGGCTGGGTAAACTATCAGAAACTGAGGTTGGAGTTGAATGTGGGAGCCAAGCAGCATGTGAATGATAATTACAGCTGTGGGGTTAGATGAGATCACTCGGGGCGGAAGAGGGGAGAGAGTGAAGAGATGAGAGCTGGGGACAGAGCCGCAGGGGGTGACGTCAGGGTCTAGACGCAGGGGTGGGTGTCCAGCCTGCAGCCCACGGCACACATGCAGCTCAGGATGGCTGTGAATGCCGCCCAACACAAAACAGTACATTTACTTAAAACATTATGGATTTTTTTTTGTGACTGTGTGTCACAGTGTATTTAATGTGTGACCCAAGACAACTCTTCTTCTTCCAGTGTGGCCCAGAGAGGCCAAAAGTTTGGACAGCCCTGGTAGAGGTTTGTCAGAGGAAGACCAAACAGAGGACATTTAAAAGAAGTGTGGTGATAGGAAGAACATCAGGAGAGTATGGAGCCATTGAAGCCCAATGAAGAAAGTGGTTTTAGAGGGCACCATCCGATTGGGATATTGCTGAGACACTGAGTATGATGAGGAAAGAAGCAGCCAGGAAGTTTGGGGAAGACCTCAGGGTGCAGAAGGCAAACTAGTAGTTTGAGAAAGTGAATATTGCGTGAGGAAATGGAAAGAGCAAATCCAGACTTTCAGGGCGTAGCAGAGAAGTGGGGTAGCTAGCGGGAGCTCCTAGATCATATTTGTGTGCCGATGGGTATGATCCAGTTGACGGTGGGGGGGGGGGGGGAGAAGGTGGTGACTCAGAGAAATGCTAATTGATGGAGCAAATACACTAAACATGCAGGAGGGGCTGGGTCAAGAGGAGGAGTTGTTCTTTGAATCTCAATATACCAGCCAAAGGGTGTTCTTGAAAAGCCAGTCAGAGTGCTTCTGCTTGTAAACTTCCCATTTCACTTAGTGCAAAGACAGTGGTCTTTCTGTGCCCTAATTTAAAGTGATATTCTTTTTAGCCTTAACAATAATTCTCGGATTGTTGGACTCCTGGCTCAGCTGGAGAAGATCAATACTGATTCTACAGAATCAGACAGTGCCAGATATGTCACATCAAAAATTCTTCATCTGGCTCAAAGTCAGGGTAAGTTTTAATCTCTTGTTTTTGGAATTTATTTTCAATTCTTTAAAGTGGATGTTAAGAATGCTTACACTTTCGATAGATGATTTTTTCTCAAATAGACTCAAGAAGTATAACATGGAATAACTGTGAAAGAAATTAACCTTCAAAGCATTGTTTCTAACAAATGATGATTTTACTTATGTATGAATTCCTCTCCCCCGTCAATATTCAAATACCTAATTCCAGTGCTACTTGTTTCAGGATGTTGACAAAATAGGCCAGATAACATAGAACATTGGTTATTGGTGTGGTTTCCACTTTGCATGCAGGCTCTATCATTCAGTGGCTGGGAGATTTTAGGAAAATTTTGAATCTCTAGGACTTAGTTGTACCATCTCCGAAATAGAGATAAAAGATATCATGTTGTTATTATTAGTTTTATATGAGAAGCATGTAAAAAGAATGTTTAAAATGTTCAATAAGTGATATCTGTTAAATGAAGCTAGTATTACTTACTGCATTGGTATCAAAGTCTTGATACAGAGTACAAGAGAAAGATACTGACTTTACACTTAGGAACATAAATGTGAAAAATTCCAAATAAAATATTAGTGAATTAAGTCTAATTATACATTAAGAGATAAATGTCATTGCTAAAGAACGCTTATTTCAGTAATGTAAATGGTTTTAATACCAGGAAATATTTCTCAATTGATGCTAAAAAAAGGAATTTAAGATTCTAAAACATGTACTTGATAAAAAAAAGCAACAAACCTGAGTTTTCTTTTTTTAAATAAGTGTAACACAGCAGCTACCTTAATATTTAACAGTGACACTGAAGGCATTCTGTTAAAATTAAGATCCAGATAATTCACAGTTAATATTTTAATATATTTAATTTTATATTTTATTAACCTGGAAGTTCCGGTGATTGAAGTAAGATGTTTAGTAGGTATTTGCTGTGTTCATTGGCTTAGTATCTATTTATCCTTCATTGTGGCCACAGACCTTTAGTTTTTTTGATAATTTCCTCCTGTGCAACCCATGTGTTTAGAGGGTTGTTAGGAGAACTCCCAAACCCAGGCGAGGTCTTTAAAAGATTGCATTTGTTCCCAGCAAAATCTAAAATACCTGCACCTTTTAATTCAGAAAGTCACTGTACCAGAATCTAGCCTTTGGAAATATGCTTATCAATTAAGGCAGATGTACAAGGATGTTCATCGTGTTAGTGCAAAGATAGATGTACCAAGTGTATTCACTGTATTATCCTCAAAACAAAACAAAAACCAACACAAACAAAACATCCCTCACATCTATAGATAACACTTGAGTACTCTGCTTCCACTAGTGTAGACTCTTTCCATCACAGCCTGAAAGCTCCTACTCGAACATAACTGCTGAAAGTGCCCCCAACCATGCCATTACCAGAGACTGCCCTCTCTCCACCCTGCCAGCTCCACGGGGGTGTCTAACCCCTGATTATTGCTTCCTGGGGTTGTGTAATGCAGTGGCTGTTCACAGGACCTGCTATTAACCAGTCAGCACAGTATGAGTTAGTGGTGACAGATTTTCCCATTTTACGTTCCTCTCTCATCCTCTACTGTCTTCTTTTTGAATTTGGTTTTACAGACATTAATGTTTTTCCTTTTTTAAAATTGCTGCAGACAGTTGTCATTCTTTTTAAGCATTAGTAATGGGACAGCAGGAAGCAGAGAAGAACAGTGTTTTAGATCTTCATATCACTTATGGGAGTTCCTATTTTGAAAGATTAAAAGGCTTCTGTAAGTTTTACAAAGTCCCATTACCTGGACCTGCGATGATGCACGACAGCAGGAGATTGTTAGTTTAAAAATAAATATGAATCTAACATTTAGCATATTTATTTTGTAGGGAATGTAGATAGTCGTCATAATAACATTATACCCTGACCTCTCTGTAGTACATTAGTCCCTCTCTTTAATAACTTCTAATTTAGAGTAACTTAATTTTCAGATGGATATCTAATGATTTCTAAAGCTGCAACCAAGTCTGAGCTTTTGTGACTTGTATTGAACACCCCATGCTTCATGTTCTTGTGAAATTGAAGATGTATAATTTTCATGTATCCAAACTATTCCACATGTAACTCTTTGCTCATTCACAAGGAAAGTCAAACAGGATTTGCTTTGGGCAGAAGTATAATGTTCTGAAGGCCAAGTATCACCCCCCTCCCCCACTGTTATCAGGGCCTCAGTGCTTACTGATCTGCTCTTAAACTCCCTTGACTATCCCCATATGGAACAGATTTGGTACTACCAGGCTCTTGAACTTTATTGTGTGTGTGCTGTATTGAGAATAGGTTGTGCTGTCTTTTTAAAAATCTCAAAATGAGAAATGAATGGCATTGTCATCCTGTATTAAAAGAATTTCTGACACTAATAATTTAGGTGTGAAAAAGTTGGAGAAGGGCATCAGATATCTTGTGCACCAGTCTTGCTGAAAGAATGATTACTGTGACCCCTTTAGAAGTGCATTAAATCAGGAAAGACTGTAAGCTTTGGGTTCAGAAACACCTTTGGGTCACCTGGTCTCGTACTTGCTTAATGACTTTGTGCAGGTTTTTTTTTCTGAACTTAAGTTTTGATATATGAAAAGAGTAGTTTTTCTCCCAGAGGGTTACAGTGAGTCATAAATGAGGCATAGTGTGGTAAAATAAACGCAATAGTAAATACTAGTTCCTTTCCTAAATGATGGCCTATGATCTACCTCTCTTTCGTTAATCACAGGAGAAGAATTGTGGAAAGCTCTAGTTTTATTATTCGAGATTCAGAAGTTTAAAATAGTATTAATTCAATCAAAACATTTAAAATGGTACCAGGTTTCTGTTTTCACCAGTTTGGTAGAATGTTTTCCAGCTCTAGTCATACAGATGATGAAGAGGCCTGCCCTTACACTCCTTTCCCTCCTCCAGTGCTGGTGCCTGCACCGTGTTAGTGACTAAGATTTCAGGTGCACAGATGGGGAGTCACCTAGTACCTAACAGGAGCTGTGATGAAGTGCAGGGAAGATCTCGTGAACTGGAAGTCTCCAGAGAGTAGAATTAGCAACACTAGAGAGAGGAATGCATGAGAACCAATTTAGAATGTTTACTAGACCCGTGCAGACTTGTTTATTCTATGTTAGTTGTATAATAAAAGTGTATGTGATTTTTATTTTATGTTTTAGAAGAAATTCTTTTTTCTACTTTTCAGAAAAAACAAGAAGAGAAATGACAGCCAAAGGTTCTACAGGAGTGGAAGTTCTACTGTCAACATTAGAGGTAAACCACTTAGCGACTTTAATTATGTAACTATTAATATCAACTAGTTTTAAGGAAAAAATATAAATGAAGTATAAAATTTTTATACTGGAGGTAAAGCCAGTGAATGGAAGTTTGTTTTATGTTTCAATTTAACATTTAGAATGGTGATAAAAACTTTCTAATACATATTAGGTAAACCTCTAAGTATATTACCCTACAATTATCTGATAAACATATACTTTTTAAAATCTTTATATGCTATTCTAATTGGTAATAGGAAATAAAGCATTAGCTGTGAATATGTCTTCAGCTTAAAATAAATGATTGGTATTGGAAATTCTCATGTATTATGTCAGCTGGTATATATTTGTGACTTAATTTACTACATATATATTGGTTGAAAACTATATTATATTTGTAGAAATGAAATTTCTGTGTCAGTGTAAAAGTTTTGGGTGGATCAGCAGGATATATTCAGAATCATGATATTTTATTCAGTGCAGTATTAAGAACAGGGGTAGTAAGTTCCATTGTATACCTCATGTTTACACGATATTGTGTTTCAAAATATATCTCAATAGAACTAGAAACAAAGAACAGGGAGTGAATTTGTGTTTGTTGATAGGAATTACTTCCTATCAAAAATGAAATAAAGCTGTTATTTTGAATTGATCTGTCAGCTTAAAGCAAATCTCAGTAAAAATACTAACAGTTTTGTTTTTGTAGTTCAGTGGGAAAATAATAAGCAAGAATAGGAAGGATGTTTCTGAAAACGAAAAGAAATGAGAAAATACCAACCCCACCAAATATCAGAGAACATGATAAAACTTCAGTAATTCAGATAATTTAGAAATTATGTATGAGTAGTTGGTGGACATCAGTGTAATAGAATAAAAAAATCCAGAACTAAATTAAAATGCTTGTGGGAATTCAGTACTACTTAATAGAAAGTAGCATTTCAGATCAAGGAAGGACAAATGATTGCTTAATAAGTGGAGCTGGGACAAACTGGGAGCCCTGCAGAAAAGCATAATGTTGAATCCTTACTTCCTACACCAAAATAGGTTCCATATCAAGCAAATATTTAAGCATGGAGAGTAGAATCATAATACTAGAGGAAGTAATGAGAGGAATTTATAAATAATTTTACAACAGGGAAGGCTTTTCTAAGTAAAACACAGGAACTGTGATAGAAAAGGTTGGTAATTTAACTACATTAACAAAAGTGCATGGGGAAAAGCACCACAGACACTTGGCAAACTGAGGAAGAATAATTCAACTTGTAAAGTGGTTTTTACATCCTCACCTGAGGACATGCCCATTGATTCCAGAGAGAGGGAAAGGAAGGGACTGAGAGAGGGAACATAGATGTGAGAGAGAAGCATTGATCGGTCACTTCTCGTACACGCCCCCAACCAGGGACCAAATCCGTAACCCAGGCATGTGCCCTGAATAGGAATTGAATCCCTGACCTTTCTGGTTATGGGACGATGCTCTAACCAACTGAGCCACACCAGCCAGGTCCAACTTATGTAATTTCTTTAACATATAAAGAACCTCCACAAACTAGTAAAGTAAAACTCATCCCAATATAAAAATATTAACAGGTTATGAACAGTCAGTTCCCAGAAAAAGAAACACAAATTGCACTTAAGATTAAGCATCATTGTGGTTCCCTCCCCGCCACTCTCCACCCCCTCCCGTTTGCTCATGTCACACATTACTGAAGTCAGCAGAGGTGGGAGGTCCCAAGTTACACTGGGGAGATTTGTCTGGATGGAGCTTTTTGGTTCCATCGGTTTGTGAACTAAAATGCTGAAACAGAGACAACACTCAGTTCCTTTTGGAAAGAGGAAGAGTAAGAGTCCCACACCAGTTACTGAGGCATAGCAATTCTCAGTTTCTTCTGTATGACATTATAAAATTCTCTACTCTGGAGGTGAGCAGTTCCTTGAATAGGCTATGCTTCTGTTCTCTGTGTGGTTTTTTAAATTCAGACATTGCTTATAATAAGAGAAATATGATGAAGTACAATGTTCAACATTTTTTAGTAGATTAGTTGTTCAGACTTTGGGAAATGGTTGCTCCTCTACATTGTTGGTAGAGTGTAAATTGCTCTATGAAGAGGAATTTGGTAATATCTGTCAAAATACTGATATTCTTTGACCCAGAAATTTCAGTAATTTATCCCACATAAAGTTGTAATTAATCCCATGTAAATATATGTGGTTTTTGTTGCAATTTTTAATAGCAAAAGATTTTCAGAAGTGTCATTTGTTACATAAACAACGGCTTAGCCATGTAATGGAATGTTTCCTGTAGTCCTTAAATAAAATGAAAAAAACTGTCTACCAATATGTAAAAATGTAAATGCATGAAACAATATCTATATAGGGCAGTATTTGGAGAAATAAATCTGTATATACACATCTGTTTACAATACATGGATTTCTTTTATGTGTGCACGTCATGCTTAGGTAGATATGTAGGCCCGATAATGCAGTTGCCTTCTGGGAAGGGAGCTAGGTGACTGGGTAGGCACCATGTATACATTGTAGTGCTTTTTATATTTTGATTCATTTATTTGTATTGTCTATTTGGGAGAAGATGATGAACTCATAAGACAAATTCCTCTTATAATACTGTTGATACTCTGAAAGTAATACCTCAGATTATTTGCAAAAATTCTTAAGGGCAAGAAGAAGAGACTGAAGTGATAAATGAGAATAGTAGAAACCGAAACATTTGTTCTTAGAGAAATTGGAAGGTCGCCTGTAAAATATAAATAGTTCCCAATAGGAAGAAAAAAGTTTGGGAATTACAAATTTACAATGGTTTAATGAAGCAAATAAACTCTTTATTTCAGAACACGAAAGATCTTCAAACCACGCTTAATATCTTAAGCATTCTTGTTGAGCTGGTGTCAGCTGGTAAGTTTTTTTTTTTTGCCTCAATTTCTATTTGTAAATAGTGATCAACGGTGTGTCATGTGTGCTTTTTGAGAACTCTCTGGTGCTCTTCTAGAAGCTATTTTGAGTATTGAAATTGGGAAGCCGGTATGTCGTGCACTTGTTGCTTTGTCTTCGGTGTCTTCCAGGGCTCCTCAAACCACCCCCGGAAGCCTTCAACATGGAATTTGGGCATCACTTGTATTTACTCTCTGTACTATTTTCTAACTCAAATAAATGACATAAAACAAAATTTGATTTTATGGTGTTTGATTTCGGAAGTCTTTATTTGAAATATTTCTTGGATGCTAATAAGTTGTATATGATATTTTGTGGGAAAATTTGCTCTTTAAGCAAATTAAAAAAATTTTTTTTAGGTGGAGGTCGAAGAGCTAGTTTCTTAGTCGCCAGAGGTGGTTCACAAATATTGTTACAGTTACTTATGAATGCCAGCAAAGACTGTCCCCTGCATGAGGAGTTAATGGTGCAGATTCATTCTATTCTTGCAAAGATTGGACCGAAAGGTAAGGGTTTCACTTGCATGATTATCAAATCTAGAAGCATCTCTGTGACATGGATTCTCTGTGCTTTGAAACTGGTAAATTTTTAAATCTAAAATGCTAGGCTTCTTGGCTTTAGTTGTGGAGTGCTTTCTGAGGTTAATTAGTGACCCGCAAGTGCTTTCTGAGGTTAATTAGTGAGGATCCTAAGTTCATGAGGAATCCCATTGCATGTGGTGGAAAGAAGAAGAGGTTTAGGTCAGAATTACACCAGTGTGTCTTGGTGTTTGTGTGTGCCTGCATGTGTATGTGTGTAAAGGATGCACACAACATGGATGTTGTTGAGGCTAGAGTGTGTGTAAATGGAGATGCTTTGATGAGCATGGGGGTAAAATGTGTTTGCTTTTCACTAACAGCCACTTTTGTACTGCATGGTCTCAATGCCCAGAAAACTTACAATCTACTTAATAAGACCAAAAGAGACATAAAACAATTTTAAGACTGTTTATTACAGTAGTAAGGCATGTAAAATATTAAAAAATAAAAACTGAGGAAACAGAATATGAAACAAAGGAAGAAGCTGATTTAGGTTAACAGAAAAAGGAATCCTTTCAATAGAACCTAATGTCAGTTTATAATTGTCTATGATTCCCTGAACCTTCAATAATGACTTTTAAGACTTCTGCTGTTGCCTTTGTGGCATACATACGGGTTTTAAACTTTGAAGTATTTGGTCAAATGCTTATTCTAAAAAGTATATATGTATGTATATATGCATGTGTATATAGCGTGGATGTTGTATGTATTGTATAAATGTTTATTACTTTTACAGTTGTTGTCTTAAATAAAACATCCTTGAAGATAACTAATTTTCAAGGTATCTTAGGTAGCTTTAAGACTTATTAAACATATATTCAGTTTATTCAAGAAGTATGTTGTTAGCTGTTTAACTCTTATATTTGAGATTTAAGGGCTTCTGAGGTTTTTGCTGAAAACAAAAAGCAAGAGAAAATCTCATTTATTGGTCAATATTATTACAATATACTTTCTATTTAGAACCAGATTATCTTTCTTTTTCTTTTCATGAAGTTAAATTAAGACATAGATGTATTTATATTTGCATTTTTTAATATCTCCTTTAAGTTGTAGCTCATTTATTTTATTTTCCTTTATACTTTTCAATTTGTGCTATTTCTGTTATTATTTGTCCTAGTTTTCCATTTTTGTCATTTCAGGACACTATGCAGTAATTTCTTCAATGATTCTGTATTCTCTTTTTTTTTTCTTGTGAGATGAGAGTAATTTTCCTGCAGGAGTATTTAGTACATTTTGACTTAAAATTCCTGTGTTTGATAAAATAACTCCGCTTGCTAGTCCTGCTTTCTTTCTTGGTTTAAAGCCTTAACATTCTTAAATTCCTGTGATCCAGATTGTTTTTACTGTTTTAATCACTTTGCGAGAATAAAAAACAAGACCTTCTTTTCTTCTCTTCCTCTCCTATGTTAAAAATTAGATCCCGTTAGAAATTTATTTGGTAATATTTGTTAGGTTATTTTCTACATAAGCTGTTGATTTTAGATTGACTTAAGTCTTAAAAGAACTCTAGTAATATTAAGGAAGTACTATTGGTAATGGACATGGAGATTCTCAGCCACCTGGCAGGGTTCCTTTGAGTGTGTGGAAGCAACAGACTCAGACATGCTATGATCCTTTCATGCTAGTCTGTGTGCTGTTCTGACCTGTATCCCTCTGCCTCTGCCCCTCACCTGCTCCTCAGCCACATTTCAGAAGTATAAGGAGTATTTTTAAAGTCATACAAGAAAATGATTATAATCTTAAATATTTCAGGTCAGTTTTACATTTGATAATAGGAATTCATAATGTAAATTTTTAAAATCTCATTGCTTTATGACTTCTTCATTTCATCCAAAGTTACATATGAATAAATTATGTTCTTTTTTTTTAAAACAGACAAAAAATTTGGAGTAAAAGCTAGAATTAATGGAGTTCTGAATATAACCCTGAATTTGGTCAAACAGAATTTGCAGAATCATCGCTTGGTTTTGCCTTGTCTTCAGCTTTTACGAGTATATTCTGCAAACTGTGAGTATTTCAGAGTAGTTTTTAGTTAACTTGATCTTTTGAAATTATAGAAGAGGAAAATTTGACCCGTAAATCTCTAAAATTTTGGACAAGGTAAGAGGATTACCTTGCCTAACCCCACTACCACAAAACTGATGTGGGGTAAGACGGTGAATTGACAGCATGGATGGAACTGGAGAGCATTGTGCCAAGTGAAATAAGCCAGGAGGTGAATGGCAGATACCCTATGATCTCACTTATAAGTGGAACCGGTTCAACAAAACAAACAAGCAAAACAGAACCAGAGACATTAAAATAAAGAACAAACTGACAGTAACCAGAGGAGAGTAGGGAGGGGATAATGAGGGAAAAGAGGGGAAGGGTCATCAAGGAACATGTATACAGGACCCATGGACAAAGCCAAAGAGGGTAGGTTTGAGGGTGGGAGGCAGGGATGGGTGGGTTGGGTGGGGCAGGGAGGCGTCATGGGGTGAAAATGCAATAGCAACGACAACAACAAAACAAGGTGAATTGACAGTCTTGAGAATTGTCATTAAGCCTATAGTGAGGGGGAGAGCAGGCAGCTCACGGGAACTATGTGGAAGAATGTGAGGGTGTTGGTAGCTGGAAAAACTGCTGTTCCTGTTTGGATTTTCATCGATGAGAGGAAAGCTGAGAAGGAAGGCATGTGGCTGCATGGTCACCTGGAGCTAATTATCTTCAGCAATCAGTAGGGAAGTAGCAGAGCAGCAAATAAATGTATAGGAGTCCCGGAGGAAGCTGGAAAGAAGAGAAATTAGAGAAAGCTTCAGGCGAAGTGCCCCCTCATATTCTCTCTCTCTCTCTCTCTCTCTCTCTGTCTCTCTCTCTCTCTCTCTCTCTCTCTCACACACACACACACACACACACACACACACACACACACTCTGTCTGTCTGTGTCTCTCTCTTTCTCTCTTTTTCTCTCATTCATATTAGTTCCCAAACCCATAGGTATTGATTTTCTTTCTATTCCCTGACTGTGGAATTGGGGTGGTTAACAGAACACCGGATATTGAAATTGTAGAGTACATGTTATTATAGAATATCACTGTAAAATAATCAAAGTGGTAGATATGCATGTACACATATACATGTGTGTATTTATTTTCTATATCTGTACCTTGACAGTATGACTACAGGTGTGCTCAGAGGAAAATAGCTTTGACTATGTAAATAATTAACACTTCTATAATTAAAAAGCATACAAGGAAATGAATGAATGGGATATCTAACCAAAGAAGTTAGGAAGAGAACAATAAATGTAAAGAAAGAAGGGAAATGAAATAGTAAAGAAAAAAAACCTTAGAAAATAAAAAACAGCTGATCTAAAAAAAGTAAAGCAATTGTATTAAAAATAAAACAGATTAACCTCTGAACACCCCAGTTAAGGAAAAAGGAAGACAGCACTGACAAAATAAGAAGGGCTAATGGGATACTAAACAAACACAGAGGAAGGCACAATCACTATACGAAACTTTCAGAGCAAAATTTTTGGTGGCATTTTATTGGATTAACCACTAGAGGGCTAATAAATGGTTTATGTATGATTTTTATACTATTTGTTCAGAGCTAAAAATATTGTGCACAATTTTCTGATGAAGTAATTGCATCTTCTGTGAAACACTCTTTCCCTATTACAACTGTCTGATTAAGGTTGTTTTTACCTGTCAGCTAGCACACTGCCTCCTAATGGTCTCTCTCAGATCTTTCTTCCCCAGAGTGCTGTGAGATCTGACCTGTAATTAAAATGCAGATTTTGTTTTAAAACATAATTCCACACATTATCAAAGTGTATGTTCTATCCATTTACTATCAGTGTTGGTGTTATTTCACATACAATGCTTTTGATTTATCATTTTCCAGTAAATATTTGTTTCTTTTGGGCAATTCCCTATAGTTGAAGGAATGAACAACTTTCAGGGACTTTTATAATTTTCTTAACTTCTTTTCCCAATTCCTCTTCCCACTGGTATGTCTTTGTTTGATACTCTGTTTAACTGCTCATACCCATGGTGTTCGTTAACTACCATTCCATTATCCATGTTTGTATCCCCAGAGGTTCTCAGAGCCACATCTGCCCCTCACTGCAGCCCCTGTCCTAGCCCAGTCCTCCTCCTCTGTAAGGACAGAGCCCAGCCATCAATCAGTGTCTCCAGAAGTGCCTTCTGGTTCACTGCGGACTGGGGACTCCTCACTGTTGTCACCTAAATACCTGACAACTCTTAATCTGTTAAAAAAGTAATTTAGTATTTATTTGTTTACTCTTTCTGTCATTCTCCTCTACACTGTTCTCTGAGAGCAGGCACTGTTGATTTTTGTCTCCCAATCCCCATGGCCTGGTATTTAGTCAAGTTCATTGCATTTATTGAAGAAACAAATGAAGTAACTTTAAAAGTATTTATTTTTAGTAGTAACATTTTATTTTATACAACTTCTTTTAGAATTTCCTGCAACTTCCCATAAAAATAAAGCAAAAAATATTTTAAAGTGATTGGTTAAAGTGGACTTTATGAGGGACATGAGTTACATTTATTAAACAATTAGTATATGTTTTTGATTATGTTGTACCAAGTATACACATTGCTACTTACTGAGATTTTTAAATCATTAAACATTTTTTCTCCCCCTTCCAGCTGTGAATTCAGTATTCTTAGGGAAAAATGGAGTTGTGGAGCTGATGTTTAAAATCATCGGGCCATTTAGTAAGAAGAATTCGGGTCTTATGAAGTGAGTAAATGTTTCGAGTATAAACAGAGTTTTCTTTTATTATTCTGGGTCTCCTCATCTTGACCTGTGCAAAGAACAGTAAATTGTATGGTGGGTTCTTTCTTAGTTCTTAAATAGTGATTTTATCATGATAAAGATTTTCTTCAGTATGAAGTTTAACCTTTGAAAGTATATCAAAATTAGAAAACTTTAAATTCATTGAGTATAGTGGTATGGAAATTTAGACTTTGAACATTCCTAGATAGTATAAGAGGAAAAAAGATCATTTATAGAGTGTCATTCATTCAGAAACATTTATTGAGTGCCTACTATATTTCCTACCAATTTTGCAATCTTTAATGACTACTTCATTCTCACAATTATCTGAACATACTTTTAATTTATACATTTTTTTTGCCAAAATAATGTCATTCTTTTTTCTTATTTTGAAAACGTTTGTAGGTCTTTCAACCTCAGAAAATAAAAGCACTCTCCAGTGTCTTGGTTATATTTAGTTTTTTTCTTAAGCTATATTAGAGGTCATTCTTTAAAAAAATTTTATATGGAATTTTTCAAATATACATAGAGTTTACATTATAGTAAAGCAAGTAATTATCTTGAGTAGTTATATTAATTGCTTATTATATGTAGTTAGCAACATTCTGCCATTTTTCTTTCATTTCTTTCCTTCCATGCTTTATTTTTGTCGGGGTATTTTTAAGCAAATCCTAGATGTCATGTATCTATATATGTGTGTGTGTATATGCACAGAAATTCATGTGTATAAATGAATTTCTGTTAGCAAATCTCAGATATTTTCTAATTTTTCCTCTAAGTATTATAGCATATCTCAACTAAATAGGGACTTAAAAAATGACCACTATACTATAGCCATACTCAAAATTATTAATTCCTTAATATAATCTAAAATCCAGTCTGTGTCCAGTTTTCTCCAGGTGTCACAGAATGCCCACTTACAGTCCATTTGTTTGAATGGGGACCAGACGAGGTTCACACATTATTCCAAACCTACACAAACATGGAAAGAACCAAATAAGAACCCTGGTATACCTGTCACTCAATTTCAACAATGATCCACATTCTGTCATTTTTATTTCATTTTTCCCTTTCCTATGCCCCCTTTTTTTCTGGGGTATCTTAAAACAAATGCCCATTACATTTGTTCTGTTTATTTTTTTGTGTGATTACTATCAGATACAGAGCTTTTTACTTTTAGTGTTACCACAATGTAATTTCTTTGCCCAGCAAAATAATAATTCCTTAATATCATCTAACATTTTTTGATTATCTAGAAAGTATATATTTTTTTTGCAGTGGCTTGTTCAGATCAGGATTCAAATAAAGTCTATAAATTCTATTTGATTACTATGTCTTACAATCTTTTAAAATCAGTAACAGTCCCCCATTTTTTGGGTTCTGTTTTGTTATTTGTTGAAGGGCCTGAGTGCTGTCTTGTAGAATGCCCCAACATTGTGGGTTAAGATGAGTGTATCCTGGGGTCATCTAAACATGCAGCTATATCCCTCAGATTTTCTGTAGACTGATAGAGCCTAGAGGCTTGATTAGATTTCTTTTTATTCTGCTCAGAATTGGTCCATGGGTGGTGGCGGGCGCTCTGCTTTGTGACACTTAAGATCATTAAGTCGATGTGGTCCTTCCCCCCTTTCACCTAATAATTCAGTAATATTTCATGATATTGCCTAGATTGTTTTTTTCTTTGGAAAACAGTGACTTTTATAATTTCTTCATTTTTCCATTTTTATCAGCTATGATTCTTTTATAAGGAAGAACTTGTCCACATTATTTGGTCAAATTCTATAAACAAAGTTCAGAACATTTGCAGTCTTTTTACCCTTCCTTAATAAAGGTTAAGTATTTTAGCTTGTATCCTTTTGAAAATGGGAACTAACCAGCACATATAGTTATTTATTAAATATTATTTGGTGGGATAACAACATATTTATGCAAAAATCATACACAGTCCTAGAGTATCTGAGGAAATGTAACAAGATGAGGAAAATTATTGTACCACAGTTAGCAAAACACACTTACAGAATTGGGTAGTATAGTGAGTGGGCTCCGGAGGCAGACAGCATGGGTTTGCCTGTTAGCTCTGTTCCTCACTGGCTCCATGATTCCAAGTAAGTTACATGGCTGTGTAACTTATTATAGCCCAGTTTCCTGGCTGTAAAATGGTACTGTCAGCACCTATATCATAAGGTTGTTGTCAGGATTTAATGAGATGATTCCTGTAACTAACACAATACTTGTATTAATGCAGTATAATTAATTTAGGTAGGTAATACCGTAATGTGTATGCAAATCCTAGTTAACGCTAAAATACATTCCTTATTTTTAATTTATATACCATTTTCTCCCTTGATCTTTAAAGTACTTTGTAATTTATCTTTTATATAATGGTTCTGATCTTCTACTTAAGATCTACATTATTCTATTTTAATCAAGTTATCAGCTCTAATATAAAATGTCCCTAGTAGAAACATTTCACAAATAATCTTTATGATATACAACATGGAATATGTCCAAAATGATATACAAACCTGTGAGTCTAAACTTCTGAGAAAGGAATATTGTTACATAAATTATTCTTTAATTCTTTTTATATTTTAAAAAGGAAAACAAAATTTAAAATTCATTTTTACTTTAAAAAGAAAAATCAGCCCGGGCTGGTGTGGTTCAGTGGATTGAGTGCCAGCCTGCAGACCAAAGGGTTGCTGGTTTGATTCCCAGTCAGGGCACATGCCTGGGTTGCAGGCCTGGTCCCCAGTAGGGGGTGTGCGAGAGACAACCACACATTGATGTTTCTCTTCCTCTCTTCCTCCCTCCCTTCCCCCTCTCTAAAAATAAATAAATAAAATCTTTAAAAAAATAATTCATTGACCAAATGTTTATATCTTGATCTCTTTATCACCTTAGGGCCTCCTTCCTTAATTTAAAAAATTTTGATATCTGGCATTTGTATCAGAGTTCTTCTTTCCCTTAAGCAGTGCTCTAAATGTCATGGAAGAAGATTGAGGGATATTATTTATGTTTGAATGGTCATGCTTCCCTTTAGGATTTCTGTTCCTTCCCAATTTTATGGTTTGGATTTAAACACTATTAATCTAGAAGGAAGCGACTCTGGAAGTTATTGTAAGTCTGTCTTTTTGAGTTACAGCAGGTTTGGAAATTATTGCAAGCACTGACCCCTACTTTATGGAGCTTCTGAGTACCTAGGGCTTAAGCTTTTCTTCCTTTACTGCTCTTACATGGATAAGCCACAGGCTGCTTTCTAAGCCACTGCTGGTTGTGTGATTGTGCGTGACACATGAATACTGGAATAATCCATGAAGAAGTATAAAATAGTGGTACTGAGAAGTTCTAATCAATTAACATAATACAAACTATACATTTCAAACATTTGTTTGTAATTTTTATATTATAAATTCCTCCTGGCTTACACGTGTTATAGAATTTCAGAAATTCCTTTGTACTGAAGTTTTTTTTATTTTACTTTAATCATTGTTCAAGTACATTTTTCTGTACTTTACTGCCATTGCAGCCCAACCATCCATCCCTCCCCACCTCCCTCTGTACTGAAGTTTTTAAAAATACCATTTAAGTAACATATTGGTGAAAGTATCAAGAGAACTTTGCACCAAACTCCATATTTTTTTTTAATCTAGTGGAGCTATGGAACAGTCATGGGGTCAGAAAGAACTGGCTTTGGAGTTAGAAAGAACTGGGTTCGTGTTCTTGTTGTGTCAGTCTTGAAGAATAAACATCAAGGATTAGAAACTGTCAGAAGCACTTTGATTTGTTTCAGATGTTTTACAAACAACTGCCAGCAGGAAGAAAGACTTTCTAAAAGTACTCTATGATTTTTATAATTTTGAATAAAGACTTAGCTGTAGATGGGAAAATCCTATGTGTATGTTGCAAGCAATTGCATCAGTTTCCTAGGGCTGTTGTGATAAAGAACCTAGTACAAATTAGGTGGCTTAAGATAATAGAACTGTATTTTCTCACAGTTCTGGAGGCTAGAAGTCCAACATCAACTAGTCAGCACTGCCAGTGGTCCTTTAAGTCCTGAATGGAATAATCTTTCCTTGTTTCTTCCTGGCTTTTGGTGGATTGCTGTCAGTCTGCGGTTCCTTAGCTTGTAGCTGCAGCATTTCAGTCTCTGCCTCTGTCATTACATGGGTTCTCTCCTGGTGTGTTTGTCTTTAAATAGTCTTCCCTCTTCTTATAGGGGTACCAGTCATTATGGATTAAGAGCTGCTTACTCCATTATGATCACATCGTAATTAATTACATCTGTAGCAGCCCTGTTTCAAGTGAAGTTCCATCTGCGGGACTCTGGGATAGGATGTCAACATGTCGTTTTGGAGGAGACCGACATTTCTGATTTCAGAATTTTCTTTCTCGACAGAGAAATTCAACCAGAGAAATGTACTTTTCATGTCACTTAGTTTTTATGTGATTCTAGGCAAATTATACTCTGAAATCTTTAGTTTCCTTATTTATAAAATGTGCTAGTTCTATGGACCTGAACTGTTTTAAGAATTCAAGTATTTCTGAGGTACCTATAATAGTTTCTGGCATTTATCAGTCCTTGCCGAACAAGTCTTTTTCACTTTATTTTTTTTACAAATTGCTGTTTCTCTTGGGAGATCCATTTAGTTCTGTGTTTAATTTTGACCAGTTTAAAAATGATACATACAATCCTATGTAAAAATGATACATACAATCCTATAAAATGATACGTACAATCCATTTTATTGCATAATTATAAGATTATGGAATGTTTCTTGATGATTCAGTGCTATAAAAACAGTATATAATTTTCATTTACTTTTAACTCATTATTCCTAAAACTTCACATTGTTTTTAAAGAAGTCACGGGCATGAACTTATAATATTTTTAAAAGCATATACTTTTGTTTTTATTTTACAAATGCTGTAAGTAGAGGTTGATGCGGTTGCTTTATGTATGTTGGTGAACTAAAGTGCAACTGCTCACTTGCTCTAGAGGAGCAATTCTCGACGGGTGTGCTGTGGCAGGCACGCTGGTGTGTGGCAAGAATGTTTAAAACGTTCATGGCCTGACTGTTTAGTCCAGGACACTGTCCTCTTTACCCTTCGGTTGTCAAATAAAAAAACCCCAACAACAGCCAGCACAACAGTAGCTGTCTGGTGTGAATGAATCAAAATTATACCTAATTTTTTGTCAGATCGGCAAAAAGTACAATGTGCCACAGTCTTAGTTTACATGTGCCATGAGATGAACAGGTTGAAAATTGCTGCTCTGGAGGATGGCAGTAATGAGCGTTTATCATCAGTGTACACTTCCTCAGTGCGTGCTCCTGCAGCATCTCAGTGCCTCCGTCTTCACGCTATCCTCTCCGTGTGCGTGTGCTTGTGATGATGGTGTCAGGTGTCACTGCGAACCAGTGTCCATCCTCAGTCCTCTGACTGACTGTGCTCTTCACCTGTACTCCTGTCTGGTCAGGCTGTGTCTCCTCCTGTGCCGCTGAAATACGCTGCTTTGCTTTTGGCCTTAATTTCTTGGGTGACTTTTTCATAGATGTGTACATTTTATTACATTATCTAAATTGTAAAATTATCTGTGAAAGAGATAAATTTGTTTTCTAACTTTATAGCCATGAGGAACCTGCTTTTGTGGGTATCTAGTAGGCATTCAACAAATGCTTAATGATGAGTGAAATGCTTAAGTTTGACAATGTACATGTTTTTATGCAAATTAACTATAATTGTTGAAATCTTACTAAGAGGTACTGTAGTGTGTGTAGCATTATGTTCTTAGTTACTGAAATTAAGTGCCATTTTTTCAGTAACTTTCTAAAAAGAAAACTGTTTGAATTATAGGTTCTCCATAGTGATATTTATATGCACTTTTAAAGCAGATTAATGGCAATTGATTTCACTGTGTGTAACTGAGTGTTTATGTTCAAAGAAAATGTAAGTACCTTCAATTTGGGGGGCTATTTCTTGATTCTCTAATGGGCACATAGTTTTTTGAGATCTTAATTAGGTTCATTATTCTCATTGGTGCCTTACGACTGAAAAATATTAAGGGCTCCGGCCACCTCTCCCTAAATCCTCTAGTTCCAATATTTTGCATTTATTATCACCTTAAATATTAGCATTATTGCTTGATAGAGCTAAAATACTTTACAACTAGATAGCTACAAGGGTCTATAGAATTTTCTAGTTATGAACTTTATTTGTGTGAAACTTGTTTTTAATTTGTGAGTCTTAATAATGTTCCTGTGTGAACTCTGTCAGGGTCAGACACAGATACAGTTATTGGTTTTAGTGATCTGACCTCTGACATAAAGACTTAGATGTTATTATTTTTTTTCTTTAAAATTTTTTTGGGTGCTTTTCTGTTGCTATTTGAGTCTTCCCATACATTCAGGTCTAACCTGAAGGGAGAGATGCATACAGAGAAACACCACATGTAATGGACTATAACAGGAATGACTTTTGGAATAGATAATAATTACTAACCTGAAAAGATTGTGTGAATTTACTATTGTAGATTAATTTTACTAGTTTTGTTGTTGTTTGTGTTTTCTCATGTTGACAGGGTTGCTTTAGACACTCTTGCTGCATTGCTAAAATCAAGTAAGTTTTTAAATACTAGAAATACTAGATACTGTATTTTCAAGTATTTTATCTACAGTGTTAAACAAAATATAGATTTAGTCTATAGTTATAAACCTGGTTTATAATAATATAATGTCAAAATTGAGTTTATCTTTTATTACAGTTGATAGATGTATCATAACTAATGTCATTTATGCTTATTGATCTACAACTTATTGAAAAATATGATGACTTTCTTTTTGTATGTTATTACTATACACATACAAGGCCCTGTTAGGAAAGCAATATGTAGATATTATGTATTTTTCTTAAAAAACTGAAGTTAACATAGCACTGAAAATGTTTATTTACTGTGAAGACTATCTTGAATAATTACTCTATGTATAACACACATGATTTTAATTTAGAACCTTCTTATTAGAAATTTTATTTCTACCATAAATTCAAATTTATAACATTAAAATGGCTACTAATGTAAATTTACAGTTTACTAAGTTAATTGACAAACTAAAGCACTATCTTCAAAATTGAAGCATTGGAATGAATGGGTCTTATTATGATATGATGCCTCTGAAGAGTAATCATAATCATCTACACTTCGTGTTTTTTTCTCACCAAGATACTCAGTAACTCTATTTTAAATAAGTTTCATTAGCACCCCTGTTTTCATTGGTTGACTAACATTTATTTAACCACAATAACATTTTAGTCCTAAAGAGCTGTATTATTGGCTTTCAGTTTTATTTTTCCCCCAAATTGTCTTTCTAGGGTAGAACAACATTTCCTTAAGTTTGAATGACCAGAGCTGTTTATTTGAATAGTAACAAATGACTAGTTGGTAAATCTGATATTTGGTAATGATTTATTAAATTTAAAAAATCACTTTAGGTATTAGTATTATATACTAGAGGCCTATTTTTAAATGCACTAGGGTATTTTGGAGCACTTTTTGGGGTGAAGGGGATAGAAATTTACTTTAAAACAAGAATTGAACTACTGGAATAACCCTGAGAGAGTATAAAGTATGTATACACAGTGCAGAAAGTAGGTACACGGTGCAGCTTAGTTAACCATCGCCGGGGCGTTGGTTAGATGCTGCAGTGTAGAGGGAAACCCAAGTTGGATTTCAAGGTGTAACTGGAAAGGGAAGACGAGACACAGGCTGATTGTAAATTAGGTGTCCTGAATGCATGAGTAACACACCCTTTAGTAAGCTGTTGTAATTATGCTCAGTTGCAGATGGCTCTGTTCACTTCTCTTTAGGGGCACTCAGCACCTGCGTTTGAGTTATGGGCAAGTTTTTTTTTATTTGAACTTTAATGAAAAGTTTCAGTATTCCTTATAAATGTAACTTAGGCTATTGGGAATTACGGTGGAGACAGAGTTTGTAACAGGAGTTACACTGATCATGTTTTTTAGAAAGATATTCATAGCTAGTAAGCTAAAGGCTTACATATTCTAACTGGTGTAAACAAAGTATGTATATTCATTTAAAATACATGAAACTATTGCCAGCCAAAATTACGGAACTGATATGGTAAATAGCCACAGCCTTAGCAAAACTAGCTCTGCTAGACACTATTAATAGAGGTTTCAAAACCCTTACATAGGACCAACCTCACCCCTTCCCCACCCTGGGAGTTTCTTCCAGCTCTCTAATGTACAAGCACACTTTCTGAGAGGGCATTAATAACGTTGATTTCACCGTCTTAAATTTTATGTTTTAGGTATGTATTAGCATAGTTGGAAACTAGTATTTCTTTGAGGCAATTAAAAGCAGCAAAACTTGGCTGTTGCATCGTCTTAATGTCCACGTCATGAGGCAGGGGGTCATTTCATAGGTAAACTTACATTAGGGAAGGGACTGGTGTTTCTTTGTAACTGAACCACCTCAGATGGGTTGGTGTTCCACTTTCTTTTGCACCCTTACAATAGGTCAACCCAGTGATGCTGGGTGGCTTAAGATGTGATAGGATTTCCCTCTGATAGCTTAATTAAATGCACCTGTTTGGTTAATAATCTTAAATATTGGCAAGTAAAAAATAATAAAATAAGTCAAGTTGCTGGATTTCTGTTAATTCTATCTCCCCAAAATTGACCATTTCCAAAAATCCCTTTAATATAGTTTCACTACATTAAAAAAACAATGATTAGAAAGCACCATCTTCTAATTACATAATGCGTCTTACATTTATTTACTAAAAAAGTTCTAAGTATTTTTAACTAAGAATTACTATGGCATGGATATTTATGTAATTATGGAGGTAATTACAGTAATTAATTTTAATGGAAACACTAAGTTTATAATAGGACCTACAATCCAATATAGTTAATCTCAGTGGAAACACAAAGTTTGTAATAGAAGTTACAATAATGGTAATGGCTTTTAACAAAATCCTGTTCTCAGATAGTAAGATAAAGGCTTATCCATTCCATTTATTGTAATCAAAGTCAGTGTATTCATAAGTTTTCAAATACATGAAAAGTTTTGTTGGTATTAACATTTAAAAGATATAGCCCTAATTGCATTAAGTATATACTGTTTTTATTAACCACAAAACAATATATGGGCAGGTTTCTGGAAAATATAATTTACCATCTGGAACTTACTTTGTTAGATAAAAATATTTAAATATATGGTTGCCATTTTTTGATAAAGTTCTTTTAAGAGTTCATTACAATATTGTGGTTATATTTTCAATTTGTTTATTCTACCACTTCCTCCTGTCACTTAAAAAATATTCTTTCTCAATTTTCTTTTGTTAAAGAAACAAATGCCAGGAGAGCTGTAGACAGAGGATATGTCCAAGTCCTTTTAACAATTTATGTAGATTGGCACCGCCATGATAATCGGCACAGAAACATGCTCATTCGGAAAGGCATTTTACAGAGTTTAAAAAGCGTAACAAACATCAAGCTGGGAAGGAAAGCCTTTATTGATGCCAATGGGATGAAGATTCTCTATAACACTTCGCAGGTGAGTTTTTTTCTGTTACTGTGATCACATATTAATATATGATTTGGTTCTTAAGAAAACTTAGTATTTCTAAAAATACCCCAAAAGTATGATAAATATATTTAAAAAAATTGAAAACCAAGAGGCATAATCATTTCTCATATGCAACCACAGACTGAGTTGGAGAAAGTGCTGAGTGCATGTATCTGCAATGTGAGATTTTTCCACATAGGTAAGAGGAAGATGTATGGATCTATCCACTGGGCAGGAAGGGGTTCCATACAGCCACGTTTTCTAAGATGCGCAGTTGGCTTTGTGTGTGTTTCCCTCATAAAGTATTTAGGGATGTTTTACAATTGGTAATGCAATTCTGTTGATTGTGGGTGTTCTTCCTTCTGGATAGAGCATTTCCCCCCCTGTTTTCTTTATTACTATTTGTAGAGCATTTTAAAATGGAGAAGGTACAAAAGTGAAACCTGGAGTTAGGGTTTCTTGTTCTGTCTGCTATTCTAAATATAGACCTTCTTGATGATATCTTCAGTGCGATTTGTTCTAGCCTCTGTAGAAACCTGTCAGCTGTGGGGAGTGGGATGTGTAGTGCAGTCCTTTGTTTTTAGTAGGCTGTAGTTATTAGAAAGAAAACTCTCCTTGAAAATTCCAGCCAGTTATCCTGATTGTGCCCACTTGATTTATACACGACTAATAATCTCTTTCTGCATGAGAGTAAAGACATAAGAACACACATTTTATGTTTACCCTTAGCTTTGTTTTTCTTATCAATCATATACACTTGTTTTTATTATTTCTAATATATGCAGCGATGGATGTTTGGTGTATGAGGAAGAGTTGGGTGACTTTGGTTATGCCACTTAACATTTCTGAGCTTTAACTTCTCATCTGTTTTGACAGACTAGATGTGAAGATTTGTAGTGAAAATTTTACAGGATGTCAAAGTGCCATTTATATGTTAGTTGTCAATAATAATAAAAATAATAGTGTTATGATATAGTTTGAAGTCCCCTATGTATCAGCCCTTCACAAGATTAATTAGATACCAGGACAGCAAATTAAACTCTTAAAACCATGATATTTAGACTTTTTTAATAATTGAACAGCCAACTTATTAGAGGCGCTATTGGTGATAACTGATAAAATTCTGAGAAAAGTTCAGCCAAATGCATGTTCCTTTTTTGCTTCTTTTTTATTATCTTACTATCTTTCTCCCTTACTTTTAAAAACTTTGTGTGCTAGACTTGCTAAATACACCTAAGTTCTTCATGGATATTACTTAATACTTTGGTGACTTTTGGTACCAAAGATGGTATTGATTTCTGCTTAGTTAAAATGTTTAAGGAAAGGTACTACTAAATTTGCCACATGAGGTTCTTACTTACAAAGAGAAACTTCTGAGTAGTTAAAGCTGCTTTATAATCATATTATGTTAAAGTATCATTTTGTGACATTTGTCTCTTGAAAATTATTAATGTATTACTTTCTGAAATAATGTAAGTGTGGTTCAGTTATTTACTAAAGGCAAATTATTTATTTTTTTCTTTTCCTATAAAACAGGAATGTTTGGCAGTCAGGACACTTGATCCTCTTGTCAACACCTCCAGTCTGATAATGAGGAAGTGTTTCCCTAAAAATCGTCTTCCACTCCCAACGATTAAAAGTTGTTTCCACTTCCAGTTGCCTGTTATTCCTGTGGCTGGACCTGTGGCTCAGCTCTACAGCTTACCCCCTGAAGGTAGGACCACAGACGCACTGCTGGCTCTTCGTGGTGGCTGGGATTGTCTGACGTTGTTGACTCTTTTCTTTGTGTGTGTCCAACTCCCCAGCAAAAGAAGTCCTTAATGAACACAATAAACTTCCACGTTATATTTTAGTTAATAAATATTTCTTTAAATATAAGAAATTGAGGGCTAGTAATTAAGGGAAGTAGTGTGGGATTTGTTACAAAAATGTAAGTGTGAACTGTGAAAAAATATAAGCATCCCATAGGAACATAACTTGATAGTTCATATGAAATTTCAGAGTAGAAGAATGTAAACATTAGATGTTTGGGCTGACATTTTTAGCTTTTTCATGAGCTTCAGTTTTTTAAAGTTAAAAACACCCCTAATCAGCAAAAAACCCCCAACCTAATCACTAAGAATGTTGTGCTTAACATAAGAAATTATCAGAATTTGGCTGTTTGCCACTTTCCATATAATACTGTAGATATGTAATAAAGGAAGTAAGAGTTTAAACTTTTTAATCTGGGGAAAAAGTAGAATTTTTAAAAAAATATCAAGGAAAATGGAAAAGAGGAAGTTGTCCAGCCTATTAATAGAATTTCTAAAGCATTTTCTTGTCACTTGATAACTTTAAAAAAAAATGAAGGTGCTTTATATTTAAAAGCCATTATTTAGAATAAATGATTGAGGAGAATTAAGTAATTATAATTAGTTTTATTCTTGATAGAGATTTATTAATGGTAGTTATCACAGAGTACACATTTATGATTTTATTTTAAAATAATTATCGAAGTACAAGTTTAGTTTGCACAAAATATTAGAATGGATTATTCAGAAACTTCCTTTAAAAGGTTTAAAAGTCTAAGACTAAGTCTGGGACTTGAGTAAGATAGCTAAGTAAAAACAATGATTTTATTCCTTCTTCTAATTCTATTTAAAGTTAAAAATATGGGAAAATCTAAAAACTACTGAATCTAAAAACTAGCATTCTCATGGAGCAAACATAGAACATGCAACAAACATTGTAGAGATATGAATAGATTAAGAAGAGTGTCAACCCTTACCCACTTTAATACGAAGTGCAGTATCTCTGACTCAAGTTGAGGTTCAGTGAACACCTAATTTGGAGGGAAATAAAAAAGCAGTTGGAATCCCTTCCTGTCTGTATCTCAGTGTGGGATTATGGGGTTTAAGAGGTGATTCTAACTGGCAGAAAGCTGGTGAGACTTGGCTGTGAGGTGGCAGGTAGTAACATTGGGAGGGAGGGAGGATGAACCTCCTTGTGTTCTTTATACAGTGTCTGGAATAATCACATGTACAGAGAAAGCTGAGTTCTAGTGCAAAAAATGACAGAGAGATGATGTTTTTTGAGGGCCTTTTTTCTGACTCATCTCCGACTGATGTAAAGATTCAATGAATTACAAAAGGGGATGTACATTGACTAACAAGCTTTTGTGACTAAGATGTAAGGGGAAGGTTCTGATAGCAACTGCATAGATACAAAGAAAATGCCATCTTTCTGTTTTCTGTAATTTTCTCACATATCAGGCTTCATAACATTTATCAAAATTTTCATTTTTTTACCTTCCTCAGGACTGTTTTTTCTTTCTTCATTTTATCCTCAACATCCATTAGATTGCATGAAACATAGTAAGTGTGCATTTAACATTGGTTGATGATTGAATTGAATTGGCTTCAATACTTATTTCCTTGAATATCAAATGCCAAAAGATAGGCAGCATCTACAGAGATTTGGAAGAAGAGTTCCGACTCAAGATTTCCGAACCCTTATTACTCGTTCTCCATATGTAAAGGTGACATATTCTTAGATATGTAATGGTATGGAAGTATATTATCTAAGTACCCTTCCTGAAGTAATTACATGAAATAATACTCCAGGCCAGTGATGAGTTAAGATGTCAAGAACACAGCAAGACATGGTAGCAGAGTAACTGTTCAGCGTTACAAATTGTTAATTATGTAGTACTAAATAGATGCTTAGGCTGGGATCTGTTAAATCTTAGGAATCCATAGATGGATTTCAGAGACTATGAATGCTACTTTGAGATTTTATGTAAATATATTTATGTTTTTTTTTCTTGGAAGGAATTCTTGAAAGGGTCTATCACTCACTGCTAAAGAAAAGCAAGGACATTTCAAAGATGCACAGAATCCTAGAGTGCTAAATATGAAGCAAGAACAAGCAAATCAGTTTTAGTAATAAGATGCCTAAGTGGATAAAATATTCCTATTAAAAAAAAGAAACTTTCAGATTCGGTTAAAAAACTAAATCTAAGTAGCTGATTCATACTGGAGGCTCTTAAAATACCTAAATGGAAAGCATGAAAGTAAACAGATTGGCAAATGTGTACCTGTTATTTCCAGTTCAAAAGAGTCGAGGAAGGCAGTATTACTACCATTCAAAATATAGATACAGAATATGTTTAAAAGAGGACAGCAAAGATTATTTTAAATAAACTAGATAGTAACAGATGTGCCTAATGCTCAAGGAAAGTTAGGAAGTTATTATGATTTTAATAATAAGCAGAAATTGGTAGAAACAATTTAGTGGGCGATTTTTAATTTACCTCTAACTTCTTGGCAAATTAAATAGAGGAGGTTCAGCCAATCGAAGTGGATGCTAAAGATAACTCCTGTCACTACATTTGAAAAATATGATTGAAATAAGTAAATATTAATTTTTAGGAAAATATGAATAGCTAAATGTACTAAAATAGTAAAAAATGTACAGGTGAACATGCAGTCAAGTTACCTTCAGTGAAGACACCAAATGCTGATGACTTTATAGATGAGCTCTCTCAACTTCCAAGAACATTTTCTGTGCTTTATTTTCCAAAGCAAAGAAAAAAGAAAAACTAGCAAGATACTGAAATAAAAACCTGGTAGAATAACCTGAAACAACCTATAGATAATTGTCACTCATGAAGATAAATATAAAAATCCTAAAATAATAGCAAATTTAACACTTTTCACATGTGTAGGGCATCTTGACAATGAAAGGATTATTTTTAAGAAGGTAAGCTTATTGTAATATTGAGATTTTAATTAGTAAGATTGAGCATTACATCAAAGGAAGGAAACCAATGATATCTTAGTAAATGCCATGAAGAGATTTAATAAAAATTATTATTAGCTACAAATAAAAGTTCTTTAGGAATCCAGAAATATTTCCCAAACAAGCTATATCATCTAACTCAGATCAATAGCTGACATCACACGTAGTAGTGAATGTTACAGGATGCTTCTCTCAACCGTCGTTAGTGAACACCGTTTTGGAAGTTCTAGTCAAATAAGTAGGATGTGGAAAGGAGAGGCTGTAGTCATTTAAAGACTGAAGGAAAACTAATTCGTGTCTGTGAAGGGTGTTAGTGTCTGTGTAGACAATACAAGCAAATCAACTATAAAACATATGTTAGGCAAATACAAGTTCAATAGATACTGTTTACAGGATAAATGAATAAAATTCAGTAGCTTTTCTGTTTGTGTGTTTTCTCATATCAACAAAAACCAGTTATAAAACATAAAGGGAAAGTAAATCACATTTATAGGAGCAAAGCAACAACAAAATTAAACCCTTGGAATATGCTTTCTAAAACCTTACAGAAAGTGCTGACTCACTCTTTTGTTATATTATACAGAGTAAAATTTATCTAATTAGCTTCCTGTTGATAAACATTTGAGTTTCCCCCTCTATTTTTGTTTTTAGTATAAAGGAGCCAAGAATATTTTGAAAACTAATGACAAGGAATGATTTGTATTCTTTGATTTTAATTATATAATTAGGCTATAATAATTATTTATTGGAAATGGTACACGAATAGATCATTAGAATAGAGAGGAAGGTCTCAGATGCCTGAAACCATATGGCATTTCATATCTTGGGTATAAGTACCAGAGAAAAATAACATAGAAAGGAAAATATTTAAAGGTTTTATTAAAAATTAAAACATATTTCGCCTCTGATGCTGAATTGCATTTCCCCTTCTCCCTATCCAGGCACTCCTCTTTCTTGTTTGCAATAGGCTTTTCTTAGTCAATTCCTTTCTTTTTTTTCCTAGCAGTTCTTTCTCCAAATGTCAATTCTTCCCTCGCTTGTCTGTGACTGACTGCTGCAACTACATTGGCATAAATAGACCCTGGCTACTATGTACAATATGAGTACTTGTTTTTTTGCTCTCTACTTCCGAACAAATTTGCATAAACTTAGTAACTATATCATTTATGATAGCCTGAGTTGTTGTTACAGAATGACTCAATATAGTACAGTAGTCATTCAAGCAACAAAAGTACTAACATACATTTTTATAGCACATGCCCTTTGCCTGGCACAGTACATATATAATTCCTTTAATGCTCACAAGAACACTGTGAGTGGGTATCTGTGTCCATTTTATAGGTGAAGAAAATGAGACACAGTTAACTGAGGTAACTTGCTCAAGGTCAAATAGCTAGTAAGTGCAGGAGTCCAGTATTTGATTTAGGTATTTTGCCTCCAGAGCCTCTTTACTACACTGCAACAAGATAGAAGGGGCAGTAGGCCTCTTCTCCACTAGGTCATCAAAGGAAGCGGGTTCTTTTTGTTTTTACCATCTCCCATGGTGCATGTATGTGTTGAAAATGGTGATGACAGAAAATTGAGAAAGAAATTTTCTTTTTGAAGTACATGACCCGGAAGTGGTATTTACCATTGTGCCTCACCTACCATTGGCCAAAAATTGGTCATATGACTGCATCTACCAGAAGGGAGGCTGGAATCTGTAACATTTAGTTAAAACTCAGAGGTGCTGTTACTGAAAGGAAAGAGCAGAGGGCAGATAGGCGAGGAGTGGGGAGGAGTTAATATTCTTTGCTAAAATAAGTCATACCGGAAATGGAAGTCAAAAAGAGTTTAAAGAAAGGGTTGTCAACAAGACAGAGGGGTACTCCCAACACTTGCCTCCCTCACAAATACCACAACAAAAAACTCCAACCAGCTATACATTGATGAAAATATCTTAGGGATAGCTCTGGACTACAGAGAAGAAACAAACATTAAAAACCCTGCCGAGCTAAAAAACTGAGGACCACCACATAGAAAAGTATGGGAAGTATTTTACCTACATCACCCTGTGCCTGTGCCCAGAGCAGCTCAGCACTGGGATCGGGGTGGGGCTGCCAGTCTCCTCAGAGGATTTTTATCTCACGAGGAAAAGGGGCACAGGAAAACCCTGGCAAGGCTCACTGCTGTGGACATTTGTAGCCTTTGCTACCACGTCTCTCAGGTCTTCAATAAAGCTGGTCCCAGCTGATGGAACTGTCCCAGCTGCTGTCTTTACTCACTGGAAGAGGAACTCTCGTTGCTGTTGCATCTCCTCTTCACTGGAGTCACTGCAGTGAGCCCCAGATACCCAGACCCTTTTTCCCCGAGAGATCTGCACACTCCTGCACCCCAGACACCAATGCCACTGCTGCAGCAAGTGCACCTGTGTCCCAGGACCCAGGTGCTGTGGTAGTTTTCATGCTCCTGAGTCCAGGCCCCCATGAACTCCTTTTATGATTAAAAACTCAACAAATTAGGTATAGAAGGAATGGTCCTCATTATAGCAACAGTGTATGTGATGGCCCCACAGCTAGCATCATACTCAGTGGTGAAAAGCTAAAAGCCTTTCTTGTAAGATCAGGAACATGACCAGAATGTCCACTTTTGCCATTTCTATTTAATGTAATTTTGAATATCCTAGTTATAGCAGTTACACTAGAAAAGGAAATAAAGGGCATCCACGTTGGACAGGAAGAAATAAATGATCTTTGTAGATGACATAGTCTTTTAGAAAACCCTAAAATCTGCACCAAAATTAGTTAAAACTAATGAATTCAGTAAAATCAGGATACAAAATCATTATACAAGTCAGTTGCATTTCTATACACTAATAATGAACTATCTGAAAGAAGTTAAGAGTGTAATCACATTTACAGTAGCACCAAAAACAATAAAATAATAAGTTTTACCATGGGGTTGAAACACTGGTACACGGAAAACTGTGAGATCGTGTTGGAAGAGATTGGAAAGCACACAAACAAGTGGAAAGAGAGCCATGTTCTTGGATAGGAGAATTAGTGTGAAAATGTTCCCACTGCCCAAGGTGATCTGCAGATTCAGTGCAATTTCTGTAAAAATCCAGTGGCTTTTTTCCCCCACAAAATGGGGTCTAATCAACAAACAGGTATAAATGACCCATGTGCATGGACAACAGAGTGGGGATTGACGGTGGAGGGGGAAGTTGGCCAGGGCAGAGGAGAGCAGTGAGGGGAAACTGGGACAACTGTAATAGAACAACAATAAAGAAAAAGAAAGAAAAATATAAAGAAATTTATAATTTGTATGAAACCACAAAAAGTTCCAAATAGCCTAGGCAATCTTGAGAAAGAAGAACAAAAAGCTGGAGGCATCACAGTTCTTGATTTCAAACTATTATAAAGCTTTAGTAATCAAAGCAGTATGGTATTCAAATACAGCAGACACATAGACCATGGAACAGAACAGAACAGAACCCAGATACAAACCCACTCATATAGTCAACTAGTTTTTGATACGGGCATCACAAACACAATAGGGAAAAGGCAATCTTCTTAATAAATGGTTTTGGGAAAACTAGATAGACACATGAAAAAGAGTGGAACTGTATCACTATTTTATACCACTCACACAATTTAACTTGAAATGGATCGAACATTTTAAAAGATCTAATACTAAAACTTCTAGAAGAAAACCTAGGAAAAAGATTCTTGACATTGGTCTTGGCAATGATTTCTTGGATAAGACACTAAAAGCACTGGCAGTAGACTAAAATAAACAAATGGGACTATTCAAACTAAAGAGATTCATTCAGCACAGCAAGGGAAACAATACAATGTTTGTAAACCACATATCAGATAAGGGGCTAATGTCCAAAATACATAAATAACTCATACAGCTGACTAGTACAAAAGCAAATAATCCAATTTAAAAATGGGCAAATGATCTGAATAGACATTTTCTCAAAGTGCACAAACATCTGATAGATATATGAAAAGGTGCTTATCATCACCAGTCAGGGAAATACAAATCAAAACAACAGTGAGATGCCACCTCACACCTGTTGGAATGGCTGCTGTGAAACAGAAGAGCAAATATTGGCAACAACGTGGAGGAAATGGAGCTCTTATAATTACTGATGGGAATGTAAATTGGTAGCGCAAATATGGAAAACAGCATGTAATTCCTTAAAAAGTTAAAAATAGACCTACTTATATGGTCCAGCAGTCACATTCCTGGGTATATATTTAAAAGAAGTCAAAATCATCTTGAAGAAGTGTCTGCCCACCCATGCTCACTGCAGCACTGTTCACAGTAGTGAAGGTCTGTAAACAACCTAAGTCCTTCGATGGATGGATGAATATAGAAACAGAGATTGTATCTGTGTCTGTGTGTCTATAGCTGTATCTATATATAAGTATATGTATGTGGTAGATATGTATGTGAACATTATTCAGCAATAAAAAATAAGGAGTTTCTGCCATTTGCAACAGCATGGGTGAATCTGGAGGGCATTATGCTGAAGTGAAATATGCCATACAGAGAAAGACAAATACTGTATGTTAGTACTTACTTATATGTGGAACCTTAAAAAAACAATAACTGATTCATAGAAACAGAACAGAATGTCGGGTGCCGGGAGCTAGGGGAGTGGTAAAAGGGGCAGCAAGGCCAAAAGGTATAAAATTTTTAGTTTTAAGATTAAATTTTGAGGTTCTGAAGAACCAGGGTTCTAAAGCATCCCTTGCTTTCCCATAGCATTTTTAAGTATGTGCCTTCATTAATGTGTATCTTTTTAAATATAATTATTTATTTACTCTCTTCTGCTTTTTAACCTCATGAGCTCCCTGAGAGCAGGGACTGTATTCACTGATCTTTTAAAAAGTCCCCAGCAGACAGCACAGTGCATGGCACATGGTAGTCGCTGACACAATAAATGGGAAGTGGATTGTAAAAGGGGTGAAATGAGTTGTTCAGATTTAGCATAAATAGAAAACATGTTTCATTCAGGCTGTTGAAACATAAGGCATTATTAAATTTTAGAAACAAAACAGTAAAAAAACTCATTCATTTTTACAGTGCTTTCCCAAATTTTAAAGCACTTTCACTGTATCTCAGGTTTTTCAACAACTGGGACAGCCTTATAGATGCTTTAAATAAGAAATGTCATTTAATTTTCCTTTGGTAATTGAAATACACATATTTGCATGTAAATAGAAACATTCTCCCTTCGGATGTGCATGTTGTAGAATGCTTACCTCTGACCTACTTACTTATAGCACATTTTGTATCACAGTGGATGACGTAGTAGATGAAAGTGATGACAATGATGATATTGATTTAGAAGCTGAAAATGAAACCGAAAATGAGGATGACCTAGATCATAATTTTAAGGTTAGTATAATTTTTTGTCTTCAGTCAACTTAGTAAATTGTATACACAGTTGTAAACAAAGAGTAGCTACATGGAAGTAGCTAATGATAGGTTAATTTGTTCTGTCCACATCTTTTTATCATGGCTGACTGTGGACAGTAAACTACTGAAAGAGAAAATAATGTTGCTTTGAATGCATCAGTCTTTGAAAAAGGCCAACGCATTCTTTCCTCACTGTGCCTGTTTTATAGGTAAATTCATCTTTCTAATATTAAGAGTTTTTATCTGTATATTAATATAAAATAATAAAGATTATATTTATATGAATTATCAATGAAGATGTAGAAAGTGAAAAAGCACTTTAAAGTACCAATTACAATAGCACCAAACCATTAATGGCTTAAGTATGTATCTTATATAATATATCTAAATATTTATATCTTGACTATCACAAAACACTGACTAAAGTAATCATAGCTGATCTGAAGAAATGGATAGATATAACCTATTTATGGATTGGGAGACTTAATACTACTTACCGGTAAATTCTTTTTTTTTTTTCCCCCAAAGTGGAGAGCCACCCTTATAAGGCTGCATTTTCAAAAAGTAATATTGAATGTTGGTCTAGTATGACTGGAGGAAATAATGCCTCTGTAAGTGTTTTGTTATTTTGAAAGCATTGTCTACTTTATTAGGTGTTAATCAAGAAAATTATATATTTTTGATTCATCAATGCATTATTTAAGATACATGAAATTACATATTCATGTAATAATAATTACACAATAATGATACAATAATTAAGATGATACTCTTTAAGTAAAGACAGTCTTTATTATTTATGGCGGGGGGGGATCATTTTATTGGTTATACAAAGAATAGCTAAATTCCTGAATATGAAATAAGAGAAATACATAGTATGTTTTTCCTTTTAAATTACTTATTAATGGGAAGTGTGTAAATATAGTTAGGTACATGTATATAAAAGAATTTTAAAGATTGAAGCATGGTAGAACAAAGTAGAGAAATAAATAACTGTGGTAGTAAGATAAATGCAAAATTAAAAACCAATACCAACGGAAATTATTAAGTGGTATAATTATCTTTCTTTAGCCACCAGTGAAGGAGGTAATGAGTTGGCATTTGTGTGAGGCCAGGGTTGTTGAGGGCCCTAGAGAGCAGCTTGGGTAGCAGGTAAACCGACGCTCATCTTACTTTAATTAGCTCCTTGAACAGATAGAGGCCACGTTGCTCCTGGACACCTAACTCTCTTTCTCTGAGGTCATACTTCTCCTTTAAGCTTACCTCCTTCTTTCCCAAAGGGTCATGGAGCTCATTTCTGGCTGTGGTTCCATCCCTTTTCTTTTCCCTGAAAAACAGAGTGAATGGTGCCACTGAGCTTGTCTAAGGGCACTTTACTGACCTTGAAATATAAGAGTGTGTGGTAATCATTAGCCTCTCTTGCGGCAGTGCATTCATTATGTTGACTAACAGTGGATGCTCTGGTGTCTCTGCTCTGATGTCCTGGCTCCTCTGTCTGCAGGCTGTGTAATTTTGAGCAAGCCACTTAACCTCTCTCTACCTGTTTCCCCCTCAGTTAAATGGAGGTAATGATGCTATTACTTCATAGTGTTCTTATGCACATCAAATTAGATAATATATTTAAAATCTTTAGCATAGTGCTTCATGTATTTTTATTGCTCAGTATATGTTAGTTATTTTGATCATCATCACCACCATATACTTATGTTTTTCAATTTAGTTTTCTTAAGTTTTCCTTTAATATGAGCAAAATGATGACAGGGAGATTGGGGGAATATACTTTAGTCTTGATCTTTACACTAGTTTTTCTATCTTGAGGAGCTCAAATACCTGTTATTATTAGAATAACCTTTGACAAAAACAAAACAACCAAAACAATAACACAACAACCCAAAAATACAATCAAATTTTAATTTATGCTAAAAGTAATAGACCCTTTATTCAGTGATTATTCTGTAATTACATGTAATTAATAATTTGGAAATCTTTAAATCTAAAATGTAGCCTGTAATTTTTTATATGTTTTAACTGGTGACATGCCATTTTTTACATTTCAGAATGATGATATTGAAACAGATATTAACAAACTAAAGCCTCAGCAAGAACCAGGACGAAAGATAGAAGAACTTAAAATGTATGAACACCTTTTCCCTGAGCTTGTTGATGATTTTCAGGTATAAATATAGAAAATTCAGCATCTTAACTGATTTTAAGAAAACATTTTTTTCCTCCCGTAGGTGCGTAATCAGTGTTTTCATTTGTCCAAAATGAAAGTAGTGGTGCTTTTCTGAGTGACATTGGACAATTACATCAACATTCGGAGTATAAATTGCTTATCTGTAAAATGAGGGAAGTAGCTCATTTAATGGACACAGGGTTTTACTCCTTAAAAAATTAATCTTGCCCTGGCCATTGTGGCTCAGTTGGTTGGAGCATTGTCCTGTAACCAAAATATTGTAGGTTTGGTTCCTGGTCAGGGCACATACCTAGGTTGCGGGTTCGATCCCTGGTTTCAGGGTGTGTGAGAGGCGACCAATTGACGCTTCTCTTTCACACTGATGTGTCTCTCTATCCCTTCCTCTTTCCATAAAAGCATTGAAAATAATGTCCTTGGGTGAGGATAAAAATAAAAATAACAAAAAATTAAATAACAGTTCTTTAAAAATGACAATTCAAAATCTCATTTTGAAGTCGTCTTTGTATCAGTTGCATTCAACTAAGGGTAAATGAGAGAGCTAAGAGACAGAATATTTTAAATTTAAAATATGTGTAGTCTATGTATGTTGAATTTTTTTTCCCCAGAAAGTGATTGTAGAATTGTGGAATGTCTGGGAGAGAGGAAGGCAACTTGAAATTTTTAAATCTAAGTTGGTTCATAGGCAGAGTGACTTCTTGTTAAAATTTCTTACCCTCATGTATTTACTGGAAACAATTATTCAGGCTGGATTAGACAGCAAGTAAAGCTGATTAATTGATGGCAATGAGTAGGTCTAGTGCCTTATTCTCACTGTGCTCACTTGGCAGTGGGTCCTTGAAAAACGCTGAAACTGTTTAGGATCTTAAACTGTGAAATAAAGGGTTTGAAGCAAACCCCATGCCCTTAAGTTCCATAGATTGATACTTAGTTCCCAGTTGTTGAAATAAAAAGACTTTTATGTGAGGTCATATGGAAGAAATAAAAAAAGAGAAATACTTGCTAGCTAATGTTTACATTCCACAGTTATAATCATTCAGGTTTCTCCTTGGAACTCATGAGCTTTGGCTGCAGTGCAAGGAACAGCAAGGTGCCCTCCTTCCCCCTTCCCTGGTGTCTTTGTGGCCCCCCAGCCCCCTAGACTTGGTGTATGGGAAGGTACTGGGAAATCAAGGGTACTGGAAGGAACACAGGGATGAAAGAGAGTGTATTTGTCAAAAAAAGAGAGAGGAAAGGAGGTAGGAAGAGGCATTTGGAAAAGGACACAGGATGATTTTCTTACAGTCAGCCTACAGGAAGTATCTGGCTGCTGTTTTAACCCTTTTCTGACCAGGTGAGAGCCACTTGAAAGTAAAACCACAGTGATGGCAAACACTGCTAACCCAAAGCAGAAAAACATGGTGGAAGGGATTTGGGGAAGAAATTGATTATTATGTGAAGAAGTCACCTACTTTCTTCTCTGTGTGCATATGAGACCTATGTAATGTGATTAAAAATTGTAGGGTTAGAGAGGAGTAGTTTTTTAGTGGGTGTGAAAGCCAGGATTTTGATTCTTATCCTTTCACAAGACAGTCTTTTTTGCTTGTAGGCTACAATGATGAAGTCTTCTTGTATGTCTGCCTATTAGTTATCAGCTAGAGTAGGTTACGCTTGGTGGTTTCTTGCTTGGTACCTATCAACAGCTTGCCAACTTGCCCTTTGTTTTGGCTGCGCCTGGAGCAGGCTCTTACTTTGGTCTAACTTGGTGTGTTCAGAGCTAGATGGTAAAGACAGGTCTGTCTCAGTGAGAGACCTCTGGAAAATCTTATTCCCAAAGTGTCCTCCTTTTTATTGTGTTTAAGCAAAAGAAACTGCTTCAATATTTCAGGTAGTACGTAGTTATTAATACATTCTCTACTTTGCCATGAAGTTTTATGTGAATAGTTAGCTCTATTTCTATAGCATGGTTAGAGGAAATAACGCATTATCTTTTATTTACATAACTGGAAAGTCACTTCCAAAGTAGTTGTGTTGACACTTGACTATCTGAGTTTTAGGTGTTAGAGGAATGCACTGTTCAAATACTTTAGTATGTAGTTTTTAAACATTTTATTTGTTGATTTTAGAGAGAGGAAGGAGCAGGAGAGAGAGAGAGAGAGAGAGAAACATCGATTTGTTCCACTTATTTATGCATTCATTGGTTGGTTTTTCTGTGTGTGCTGATCAGGGATCAGACCCATGACCTTGGTGTATCAGGTCAACACTCTGACCCACCGAGTGATGTGGCCAGGGCCTCTAGCCTCTGTTTTTTTGAAGTCTGTGTTAGAACTACATATAAGTAATACTTAAGTAATATACTTTTGAGAATTACAAATATTGGTTGGTACCAAATAGGAAGTGTTGGAAAGAATTTTTTTTCAGCCATCATTATACCAAATATTTGCAGGTCATGAGATGGTAACCATTAATGCAATTGATATTATGACATTTTACACTTTGATTTGTATGCCATTTTCGACATCAGCCAATGAAGCTTAAAATTACTTGATATATAGGTATGTTTGAATCCTGAGCACCATGCACTTTGTTTCCCAATGTGTTAAATCTGTTATTCAATGGCCAGGTGGGAGCAAAAAGAATGCACTTGAAGGTAACATGTGGAATTATTAAAGTAATTATCAACATACTTTTTAAGGGAAACTTGCATGCTTTGAAAACTATGATTATTTATTGATAATGACAATTACAGTTTCATTTCCTTTTTTAAAAAACATTTATTTTTAGAGAGAGGGGAAGGGAGGGAGAAAGAGAGAGAAACATCAATGTGTGGTTGCCTCTCAAGCAACCCCTGCTGGGGACCTGGCCCCCAACCCAGGCATGTGCCCTGACTGGGAATTGAACCAGCGACCCTTTGCTTCACAGGCCAGCACTCAATCTACTGAGCCACAGCAGCCAGGGCTGCTTTTGTTTCTTGATGGCACAATATGGAAAGTGTGAAAATTCTGTGTTTTGACAGCTCTTTTTTTTTTTTTTAAATCTGTTACAGCACACTTACTGAAATTTACCATATGGACTTTTATTATTTTTATTTTTCTCTCTTTTTTCCTTTTTAATTTGGTTTTAAATTTTTATTCAAGTTATATATATGTGGTCAGAGTTTTAAGAGTCGAATAGTTTCCAGAGTTTAATCAGGAAAACTATTATCCCCTTCTACCTGCTATTTTCTAAATCACTTTTAGCATGTTTTAGAAGTTAATCTCCATATTTCTAAATGATATTCTTAGTGCCATGTCTTGATTTTTTTCAGCTTTTGTTCTTTTTCTTAAATTTTATTATTTTATTTTGTAATGTTATCATTTTAAGATAGGCATGTAGTACTTTTCAGCCTTTTTTTTCAGTATTTGCATTTTTAAGTGATAAATTTTATTCTAATTACTGTTTTAGCTGTATCATATAAGTTTTGATTTTTAGTATTTTTATTGTATTTTGTTTTGAAAATTGATTTACATTATGATTTTTTCCTTTGATTCACTGGTAGTGTCAAAGCTGGCTTTAAATTTTTAATTTATTTCTAGCACATTGTTACAGGATAAGAGGACAAAAATTCTTTATTCGTATAATCCTTTGACATTTTTGAGCCTTATTTTATGGTTTTAAATATGTCAAGTTTTGTTATTATTTCTTTTGTTCTTGAAAGAGTTCTTTGCTTGTTGGGTATGGCTGTATATTCGCCTTTAGGGAAAGATTGTTAATTGTGTTGGTAACTTCTTTTCTGTTTTTATGGATTTGTATTCCTGCAATATCAGTTACTGTGTAGGTCTTTCAATTTTTGTTATATATTTTTTGAGGTTTATTACTTATTGTGTATAAATGTAAATTAATTTCCTTTTGAACTTTTTATTTTTATTAAGTTAACTGCCTTTATCTCTAAGACTTTAAGGCAAAAAGTTTTTAAAAATATATTAGTGTAGTTACATTAATTTGCCTATATCCCTGGTATCTTTTAAAATCTTTTTACTTTCAACTTTTTGATATCCTTAGGTGTGTATCTTTAAACAGCATATAATTGAATTAAAAAATCAAGTTGAGTCTTTGCTATTAACTGGGGCATATTGTGTACATAACGTTATTCTTATATTTGGATTTATGTTTATTATCGTATTTTGTATTTTCACTTGTTTTTCTCTATGTTTTTGTCCCTTTTCCTTGCCTTCATCTGGATTATTTTTTTTCTTGTTTCACCATAAGTTTGAAAGCTATACAGTCTTGAAATTATTTATTTTAAACAAATTAAGGTATAATTTATGTATAATAAACTGTATTCATTTAAAGTGTAAGTTTGAGTATTTACATTTATGCAAAAATTTTAGTTACTGTTTATGAAACATTTACTAAATTCTGAAGTTAATCATGGCCTTCTTTTCCTCTTTCTCTTACTTAGAAAAGGAAACTTAGAGTTCTTGAACTATAGTCACCTCCCCAAACAACTTAGAACTGTAGCTTTTAAAAACATCAGGATGGTGCTTTGTGTTTTACATTCACTTTTTAAGATTTACCCACATTTTTACGATTTTTCTATTTTTCATTTATTCATGTTTCTCATACCTTCTTTCTGTGTGAATTACTTCCCTTCTGTCTGAAATGTGTTTTTTAGTGTTTGTCTCTCTTTTTGTCTTTTAGTTTGAAAGTGTCTTTGTTTTGTACTAATTTTTGAAACTTAGTCTCATTTTTTTCTGGCTTATTAAAGTCAATTTTATTGAAGTATAATTTATATGTGATAAATTATATACATTTAAGGTCAACAAGTTGTGACAAATTTATACAACTGTGTAACTGTCAACCCAGTTAAGGTGCAGAATTATTTCTGTCACCCCAGAAAGTCTCCCTAGGTCCCTTATATTCAACCATCTCACTTCCTGCCCAGGTACATACTGATCTGCTCTCTGTCACTCCCGGTTAATTTTGCCTGTTCGAGAACTTCTTATCACTGGAATCACATAGTGTGTGCTCTTTTATGTAAGGCTTTTTACGTTTAACATGTGTTTTCAAGTTTCACCCACATTATTACACAAGTGATTTTGTTCTTTATTGCTGAATAGTATTTCATTGTATGAATACGCCACAATTTCTATATCCATTCTCTTATTGATGAGTAATGGAATGCCAGCCATTTTGGGCTATTATGAATAAAATTTATACTACTCTCAGTATATAAAGCTTTTTTTATGGAAATATTCATTTCTACTGGGTAAATAAATACCTACAAATGAAAATGTTCGGTAGTAGATATGATAAGTGTATGTTTTAACTTTAGAAGAAATTTTTTCTGGTGACTTTTAAGATTTTTTTTTTTTAGCTTCAACGCTATGCATTTTCCCCAGTAGTGTTGACCAAGTGTGGGTATTCTGTTTTTAACTCTTGTTTGGAATTCATTGTCTTTTGGAATCTGTGAGTTGTTTTCCCATAGGATATGGAAAAACTCTTCTCAAAACCCTCAAAATAAAAACCAAAATTCTTACAATAGCCTGCAAAGCCCTTCAATACCTGGCTCTTTTTTACCTTTTGAAATCATCTTGCTCACTGTGCTCAGTTATGCCAAGCTCCTTGACTTTGAACACACCAGGCTTTGCCCACTCTGGGTCCTGTGCACTGTCTTTGCTTGTATTTCATTTTGGTCAGGTTTTCCCCATCACGGCATTTAAAATTGTGACCCAGCACTCCTCCCCTGGCACCCCCAACTGATAGTGTTGCTCCTCCCCCCCTTTTGCTAAAACCCTTACCCTTTCGATAGTCCATAAAATATATTTATATCATGTTTATTACTTGTTGTATTGGCAGTTTCCTCCCCTCCTTCCTTAGAAGAATATAAACTGCACAAGGGAAGAGTTGTTTTGTGTTTTTTAAGTGACAAGTTTTTAAGTTCCTGAAACAGTGCTTGGCACAAAACAGGCACTTGTAGATACTTGTTGAATTAGTGCATAACAATTTGGTTGTGATTTCTTTAAGAGGATTTTGGATAATTTTAATGTCTCTCTTTCCCCTTTCTAAAGTTTTCCATATTTTTGTTGTATATAGGCACCATTTTTATAAGAAAAAAATAAGTGTAATGAATTTTGTTGTGGTTAAATACAGGGAGGAGCAGAAGGAAGCTTACAGTTATGAGAATGTGTAACACAGAGTTTATTCTTCCTATTTATTAATTACTGTATTAGTTTTCATATAAACAACTGTAAAACTGATTTTGCCTTACCCTGTACTGTGTCTTTTGTTAGCGAGATTAAGGTATACTGTTTTATTCATCTTTAAAATGTTTAAATGTTAGGTTTCTAAAGCAGCATATAAAATGAATATGGTCTTGGTTTTGTTAATACATTGTAATATTTACAGGTAGAAGTTTAAACATATTTTTTTATTTTCAAAGGACTATGACTTAATCTCCAAAGAACCAAAGCCTTTAATATTTGAGGGGAAAGCGCGTGGTCCTATTGTTGTCCCTACAGCAGGAGAGGAAGCAACCGGGAACTCGGGCAGTTTACGAAAAGGAGTCGCAATGAAGGCAAAAGTGTCTCCCAAAGGGGATGAAGGTGATAAGAAACCTGCCTTTTTGGATCTGGCAAAAGAAGACATGCACGATAATGACAGAACATTACAACAGCAGCTAGGTGATCAAAATAGAACTATTTCATCTGTCCATGGCTTCAACAGTGATATTGTGAAGGCCTTGGACCGAATTACATTGCAGAATATTCCTTCTCAAACAGCTCCAGGTTGTACCGCAGGAGTGAAGAAGGACTACAGCCTCCCTCTCACTGTCGTCACGTGCCCGAAAGTATGTCCGCACGTGGCTGCTTGTGGAAATGTTCTGTTTGAGGGGAGAACAGTTCAGCTAGGGAAGCTTTGCTGTACGGGAGTCGAAACTGAGGATGATGAAGACAGTGAGTCTGCTTCATCCGTGGAACAAGCATCAATTGAAGTCTCCGATGGACCAACGCTCCACGACTCAGATCTCTATATCGAGGTTGTGAAAAATACAAAGTCTGTCCCAGAATATTCAGAGGTTGCTTATCCTGATTATTTTGGTCACATTCCACCTCCATTCAAAGAGCCTATTTTAGAAAGGCCTTATGGTGTACAGAGGTGAGTGGCAGATTCCTTCTTCCTTCTAAGTAAGACCATTGTTAAAGTAAGAGCTGTGCTTAAAAAAAAACTAGGTATTTAGGAAGAAAATTACTTTGAATTTAAGTTATTGTAATTTTTATCCAACTTTGGCAGTTTTACATTGTTTGAAATTGTCCTTATAGGTTTACTTTGTTTATTTTCTAAGTTCCTTACTTATTCAAATGTAGCCAGCATAATAAACCTGACCATATCTTGGGATCATATATAGCATAGCATCAGGACAGGGGACTGACTTTGCTGGGACAATTTAGAAATTAAAAAAAAATTTTATTGTTGTTCAAGTATAGTTGTCTCCATTTCTCCCCCACTATTCCCCCCCGCCCCACCCATCCCCACCCTCTAGAAATTTTTATTTTTAAAAATATTTTATTTATTTATTTTTAGGGAGAGGGGAAGGGAGGGGAGAGGAGAGGGTGAGAAACATCATTGTGAGAGAGAAACATCCATCGGCTGCCTCTTATACACGCCCTAACTGGAGACCAAACCTGCATCCAGGCATGTGCCCTGACTGGGAGTCAAACTAACACCCCTTTTGCTTTGTGGGAGATGCCCAGGCAACTGAGCCACACGGGTCAGAGTGAAATTTTTTTTTTAAAAGATTTTATTTATTTATTTTTAGAGAGGGAAGGGAGGGGGAGAGAGAGAGAAACATCAATGTGCGGTTGCTGGGGGTTATGGCCTGCAACCCAGGCATGTACCCTGGCTGGGAATCGAACCTGCGACACTTTGGTTCTCAGCCCATGCTCAATCCACTGAGCTATGCCAGCCAGGGCTTAGAGTGAAATTTTTTAAATAAAAAATTTAGAAACTTTAGAGTGAATCTGAAAATAATTAAAAACAAATTAATTAGTAACCTTTGAATAAATGTTACATTAGTAATATGTTAATTTAATAATTTGATTATCTTTTTAACTTGATTTACATGTATGATTTAAAAATAGCAGTATGGACAGTGTTACTTTGCTGTGAAATTTGAAATTGGAAATATACAATATAAAAATTTGGAATTTATAAAAATGGTAACTAGTTACTGAATCTTGCGAATCAATTTTGGAAATGATAGTATTAACTATTGCCAACTAGTGAACATTTGGCATATAAATACATTTTTGGTGTGACTTGACTATTTTCAGTGATTATGGTTAAGATTTTGTGATAGTGGCTTACCAGCACCTAAAAACATTTATATGCTCTTATTATGAGCATGATAGGTAATGATAAAAGAAGACATTATTTTGGGTATTTGGTTCTCTGTAAACTATAAGCACTTTTAAGGCAATAACTGTATCTTTCTTTTTATCTTTAGCATGTGGTATAATCAGTCATTTTTACTTGGCACCTTAGTATATGTTTAATGCTACCAGTTGGCTCCTTGACTCACAGGTGTGGAATCACATACAAGATAGTGTCAGGATGGGGGACTGACTTTGCTGGGAAAGGTGTGGGAGGGGGCTCGTTCCTTGGCATCTGCTGGTTGTATCACAGACTGCACCATCCAGAGGCAGCTGGCCTCTTAGAGTGCTGGAATGGCCTTCAAAAGGCATAGGTGAAGCTGCAACTCAGAGGAAATTATCTGCAAGGATGTGTTACATGCACTGCATGAGAAACTTCCACATGGTTATTTATCCTCAATAGAAAAAATGGGGCTAGGAACCAGGAGGTGGTAACAGAAATAGTCCTACTTAATATAGCATGCCGTGTCCCAGTGGGGGACTTTGTGCTTTCTGGTCCTGTACCTCTGGGCTCTGCAGGATTAGAAGTCCTGGTCATCAGAGTGAGTACAGTCTTTTCAAGGGGTACATAGCAAGGCTACAATTTAACTGCAGACTGTGCTTGTCAACGGTTTACTTTAAACTCTTGTATCTGGCAGGCAGGAATAGTTGCTCGTAGCCTTCAGCCATCATACCTTTGGGACCTATAGTAGCATTCATGCTGAGGCCATTGGCTGACCACGATGGGGTCACTAGAGTGGAACCATTCTTGACCCATGCAGGGGTCTGCTAATAGGCAGTCTTTTCTCTGAGGTTGAGGCTTTTGCAGAGCTGCTCTGCAGTCTGTGGCTCTTCCTGCTCAGTGTGCTTCCCTTTCCCAGGTGTCACACCTGCTTTATGGACAGCCTTGAAGGCCCTCCTCACCTACTGCTAATGTCTTTCTCCTTTGTTCTGTACACATGTCCCCCAATAGATCTCTTGCATGTCTGATTGTGTCTTGGCATTTGCGTTTTGAAGGACCTTAACTGATGCTTCTGGAGGGAGCCAGGATCAGTTGGTGACTTGAGTTTTCTTCTTCTTAGTGTCACCTCTAAGGCTCTCTACCTCCTCAGAGTCAAAGGTGTGTCATGTTGACCACAGAAAGCACTTCTTTATTTTATTTACTTATTATTATTTTTTAATTAAAGATAGACATTTTAAAAAATTGATTTTTAGAAGGAGAGAAAGGAAGTTGGGGAGAGAGAGAAGAGAGAAACGTCAACTGATTCTTGTGTGTCCCCTGACCAGGAATCAACCCAAAACCTTGGGGTACCAGAACAACACTCTAACCAGCTGATCTACTTGGCCAGGACATTAGGTGTTCTTCAAGGTCTCAGAAAAAGTTTCCTTATTACATTGCTTCAGTCTGAAAATTTGGTTTCTTCTTACTACCCTGTGATAACTGAGATAAGATTAGAAGGGAGGAGAACTGTGAAATAGACTGTTAGGATTGTGTAAGTCTCTGATTCTCAGCCTTGAGTTCAGCTAACTGTGATCCTTCTTGTTTCTCTTTGTGGACTGCGTGCTATGAAAGCTTTTCTCAGTCAAGTATTTCCTTTTCTCCTTTCCTCCCTCCCTCCCTTCTTTTCCTCCCTCCCTCCTTTCTCTCCTTCTGCCTTCCCTCAGCTGCTTCTGATGTTGGGCTTTGTCCCTGCTTGGCTGGGTCTTTTAGAGAATAGCTTTCCACCCAGGTCCCAAGCTCTGCTTGCTCTTTCCCCAGGACTGGGCTTATCCTGACAGTGGAGGAATGTTTACAGTCTGGGAAATACTGTGGCTCTTCTGCAACCCTCTCCTCTCTTACAGTATTTACGATGAATTCTTTCACTCATCCCTGAAACATGGACCTTGTCATCACTCTACAGGTCTAATCTACAGATTAGAGTTTGACCTCTTCAGTATATTGGGCCACCTGTAGGACATTTTCCTGAAGTAGCTGATTTTTTTTACTGCCTCTGTACAAAGCATAATGTACTCCTGAGTTTGTTGATTATTTAAACCAAAACTTTAAGGTATATTTTTGATATAAACAGCATGATGAAAGATCAAAAGGTCAGTGGGAGCTGGTTTGTATGTTTTGCAGGTAGGTGTGTTGGTGTGCAAGTTAAGTGCAAAGGAGATGGAGCTCAAGGAAATTAAACGCACTGACATCCTATAATCATGGTGGTTCTATAAGATTTTAATGGAGCTGAAGTAGTCCTATTGCCTAGTGATGTCATAGCAATAATACTGTTGTAGCACCATGCATTATTTACGGGTTTGTTGCGATGCTGGTTTAAACATCTTCATTACTGCACTGCATGTACCATTATAGTAGTAGGCTGCACCATCTCGGTTTGTGTGTGTGCTCTCTGCTGTTTGCACAGTGATGAAATCGCCCAGTGATGCATCTGTCATTAAGCAACACGTGAATGTAGTGCTTGTGTATATGTGGCTGTACCATACTGTCTATAAAGACTGTCTTCTGTGGATCCTCAGAGGACACGTATGTAATGAACACCATTTTTCACAGTATCTTCATGGTCAACATAACAGTGAGGTCTGCTGAGTTGTTTCTGTGATGTTGCTCTGTATTTGATGAAACCTAACAAAGTACAGTTTTGCTGGTGGTCACATGTCATGTGAACTTTTGAGTCTTTTCTGGACTAAATGGCCTGCATCTTTTTCAGACTGTACTGCACAACATTTTTTCTTTTGAGCCACACCTTTGATAAGTATTGAATGTCAGAGAGTTTGAGGTTATAGTCCCCTGTGGGTACCTGGGAAATAATTTGTTGTGTTTAGGCTGGAGGGTCATTTATTTTAATAGGCATCTGAGGTAAAGGAAAGAAGGATTGATATCTTTTTAAAAGGTTATTTATTTATTTTTAGAGAGAAGGGAAGAGAGGGAGAAAGAAAGGGAGAGAAACATCAATCAGTTGCCTCTTGCATGCCCCTAACTGGGGACCTGGCCCACAGCCCAGGCATGTGCCCTGACCAGGTGTTGAACTGATGGCCTTTTGGTTCAACAGGCTGGTACTCAATCTACTGAGCCACACCAGTGAGGGCTGATATCTTTTTATGAAACTCATGCTCTTTAACACAAATACCTGTCTGAATAAAATACCTGTTTATTTTCTTTATTAATGAGGGCTGAGGGCAGGGCAAATATTTTCCTTAAGTATTAATTTTAGGTTTAGTTTAATATAAATGGACAATTGTGTCCCCTAAAATACAGTGTCAGAGGTTGAAAACCAGTGTCAGAGGTTGAAAACTAGGCCATATTCAACTTGTGCATGATTTTGGCTTCACTGGCAGAGCATTTTTTAAAGCTGATTGCCAACATTTAAAGTTTGGGAGATTGCACATAGAAATCCAAGTGTCTGGTGTCTCTTAAAAAAATGTAGTATGACAACCTTAACCTCTTTTCTGCTGGGCAATAACGAGTTTGTTTTTAGGCAGAACCTGTGTTCCCCAGTTTTCCACGCTGCCGCCACATCAGCCTCTCTCGCTACATCGTGTGCCGGCCTGCCGGCTTCTGCTTTTCCACCCCGTTTTACATGATGGGGGCATGGCTGCAGCACTGAGCTGTTGTACCAGCTTTCCAGTGGAGTCTTTCTTCTAAAACAATCAAACCTTTGTAAGGATTGATTTTTGCATGTTTGTGGTATATATCAATCTCACTTAATAAATTACTCTGACAAGTGGAAGTATTTAATCATTTACCCATACTTGATCATTTCTTTTGTGTGGTGTATCAGAGTCTGTGTAAGTGCCACCTCTTTCATTGTTAAAGGTCTGGGTGACATTAATTTTGGATTTGTTTGTTGTTATAAGTAATAACTTCTTAAAAGGTTGTTTCTTTAGAAAGAATTGGGTATTGGAAAGTAATGATATCGAACCTAAATCAAGGGTTTTTATCATAATATTTTGATAATAGGTTTGTTTTTCAATGTGCTTTGTCAGTGATGAGTTTTTTTTGGTAGAATACAATTTAAAAATAAATTATATTTAATTGTATAACTACTAGGTTAAGAATTTCAGTTACACTTTAAAAAATTTTAGTATGCTTTTTTCATGTGTTTAACTATTATACTTTTTAATATTTTCCTGAAAATTTTTAATTCTTTATTAGAATAAGTGCTTGGCTAATTGTGTTAGATTTCTAAATGATATGAGAGTGCATATCCTTAAGCACAGAGAAGGGTCTCTGTGCAGGAGACTAGTCTCACATCTGCCTGAAGTTAAGGAGACTTCAGTGTTGAGGGTATTCTTGAAATATTATTATAATCATTTTAGCAAACTTTTTACTCTACTTTCTCAATAAATCGATAAACCACAGTTCTGATCTGTATTACTAATTTTTAGCTGAAACAAAAGCAAAATTTAAATTAGTTACATAATTGTCTTCCTCATTAAGAAGTAGGTGATAACAGTAGTCCCTCCTGACCCCTACTTTTGCTTTCCTTGGTTTCAATTACCTGTAGTCAGCCTTGGCCTGAGAATATTAAATGGAAAAATATTGGAAATAATTCATTAAGTTTTAAATTGCACGCTGTTCTGAGTAGGGTGATGAAATCTCATACTGTCCTGCTCCCTCCTGCCCAGGATGTGACATCCCTTTTTTGCCGTGCATCATGCTGAATGCACTCCACGCTGTGTATGCTCCCTGCCCACTCGTCACTTAGTGGCCATCGCAGTTATCAGGCCGCCTGTTGCAGCATTGCAGTGCTTGTGTACAAGGCGCCCTCATTTTCCTTAGCAATGGCCCCACAACGCAAGAGTAGTGATGTTGGCAATTCAAATATGTCAAAGAAAAGCTGTGAAGTGCTTCCTTTAAGTGAAAAGGTGAATTAATAGTGCAATAAGATAGATTGAGAGAGAAAGAGCATATTCATATAATGCTTATTGCAGTGTGTTGTTAATAGTTGTTCTGTGTTATTATGAGTGATTGTTGTCAGTCAGTTACTGTGCCTGATTTATAACCTAAACTTCATCTTAGGTGTGTACATGTGAAAAAATACAGCCCCACCCCCACACATGGATCGGTGCTGTGTGCGGTTTCAGGTGTCCACTGGGGATCTTGAACCATGTCCCCCTTCACCGTTTTACTAATGCCAGCAGGTGCCTCCCCACCATGGCCTTTATGCACCTCTGCCTGGAGTTTCAGGCACCTGGCTTTGCGATCCAGGTCTGCACTGTTTAAGCCACAGTTTGGTACCATTTTTGATGATTGTTGTCTTCCTTCTCTTGAATATTGATGGAAAGGTTGTGGGGTCTGTGCGGGGTCTTTAGGACAGTGGCAGGGATTTTAGGAATATTCCAGGTAGTTGGTGTCCATTTTATTGGACTGCGTCAGGGAGAGATCAGGCCTAGGGAATCCTGGAGATGCAGGGACCAGCCTCTGCTTCCTGACACAGGTGTGTTGCCCTCACTGCACATTTCCTCTGCAGCTGTAGAAGAGAACAGACTCTGCACAGTGTGCAGGCGGGTTGCCAGCTGCATTTTAGGTTAGTGCCAGTGAGAGTGGGTTTTGAAAATTTCCTTCTAATGTAATCTCTGGCCTTTTGGATCTTTACTGATTCTAGTAATGCTACTATTATGTGTGCAAAATTATTTCCCTAGGGGCTAGAGAGTGGATCCACACCATTTCTATGTAGCAAAGCATAATAGACATTCAAGATTTATTTCCTAGACCTCAGACTTTAAAAATACTGATTTTTTCTTGTTATATAGTGATAATTTTTTGTTCAAAAATACATAGAGGAGTGATCATTTTTATTTTAAGAAATTTTTATCATTTTACACTTTTTAACAATCTAATACTTATTCTGGAGAAAGTTGTCCCTTTTACATCTATCAGTGAATTTTGGTCAAACTTCTCTTTTATGATTTTAGGACAAAAATTGCCCAAGATATTGAGAGGCTAATACATCAGAGTGATATCATAGATCGAGTGGTATATGACTTAGATAACCCAAAGTAAGTCTGATATTTTTGTTTTTGTTGTTTTACTTTCATTAGTTTTATTTTTACTGTAAGATGTCAATGTTATTTTAAAAGATATAAAGTATCTTTTAACTTCTACCTAGTTTACTGTCATGATGTTTTCAGCTTTTACAGGGATATAATGGTAATGTAATATTACTCATGTTTTTTACTTAAGTTGAATATATCACAAGCTTTTGTTTGTTCTCAGGTGGACTTTTAATGGGTATAGTAAGGTAAAGGTCACAAATTGATGTAGTGTTTTTAAAAAACTAAAATTACTTCTACTTAAGAGAGTGGAGGTTTCCTATGAAATGCTGTAAATTTGTCCTGTAATATTGAGCCTTCATTTCCTTGGAACAATAAATTGCCATCCCCTTCAGAAGGAACATAAGCTCACTAATTCCTCATAGTCTCCACTGTGCTTTCTTGTCTCTTACTGTTTAGAAACTGCTTCAGTCCTTGAAATTACTAGCCTGACCTTTGAAACCATTTGTTTTTGATCCGTGATTTGTTAGTGTCATGTACAGTTTAGGATTATCACTAATATCACATTTTAGGGTTTAAATAAAAGTAATAAATGAAAATTACAAATGATGAATGTGACTATTATTTAGTCATTTGTCTCTTCACATGATAAATTTAATTAGGCCTCAGTGAATTTTCCTTCCCCTTTAATATTCTAATATTCTAATCTTTTTGGAAAATTTTACATGTAACTGATTTTTTTTTTAAAGATTTTATTTATTTATTTTTAGGCAGAGAAGAAGGGAGAGAGCAAGTGAGGGAGAGAAACATGTGATTGCAGCTTGCTCGCCCCCTACTGGGGACCTGGCGCACAATCCAGGCATGTGCAAACCCTTTGGTTTGCAGGCCGGCACTCAATCCACTGAGCCACACCAGCCAGGGCACATTTTACTGATCTTATTTGGAAGAAATAAAGCACTTTGCAAAGACTTTTGTTAGAGAGATAAGGGCAAACCTATATCAAAGATAATGACTGAATTTGAAATAATATTCTTGAAAATTAAAAACGAATCTCTTTATTCATATCTTTTAGTTATTTAAGCATTTGTATAAGTGTGTGTCATGTAGACCAGGCAGACATGGTAAATCCTGAAACAAACTAAAAAGTCCCGAGTGTGGTATATTGTGCTATTTCTAACTGAAATGTTTTGGACAAAATCTTTGAGCTTTTTGGATTCTTAGTTTTCCCTATTAGATGTAAGTTCCAGAAGAGCAGGAATTTGTGTTCAATTAGGGAAACAGACAAATAACAAAAGCAGTATGTCATGTAGTAGGTGCTCAGTAAGTATTTACTTAAGTAATGAATATGTAAACTGAGGATAATACCTCCACCTTTTTGGGTGCTAATTAAAAAAGATAATGGATAATGTAGTTACCGAAATTTATAATAATATTTAAACTTGAGAAATGCTTAGTTAGAATTATTAGTACTCAGTACAGGTAATAGCATTTTAAAAACTAAGTCTGGCCTTTTTAATATAATTATTTGCACATATTTAGAAATGACATTTATACACTGAGGTAAAAATTCTTATTAAGATTTCCTACCAATGTAGGAACAAATCTCTACTTGTAATTATAATGTTTTGGTCTATAAGTATTAGCTAAAGTTTGTATTTTGCTTGTGTTGGTTATATTTTTTTGGTTTAAAAATAATGAGGAGGGTGAGGTGGTAATAGTGTTATATTTTTAATCTATAGTGTGTTTTTATGTTTATTGTTGCTCACCTCTTAACTGCAGTGTATTTTATTATACTTGAACATTTTTATTTAGTTACACCATTCCAGAAGATGGAGATATTTTGAAATTTAACTCCAAATTTGAATCTGGGAATCTGCGCAAAGTAATTCAAATTAGGAAGTAAGTCATTTAAAATTTTCTCATTTTGTATGTGCACTGATACTTTTTTCATTTTCATCAGATTTCTTTATTTTCTATTTTCAGAAATGAGTATGATCTTATTCTGAACTCGGATATAAACAGTAATCATTATCACCAGTGGTTTTACTTCGAAGTCAGCGGAATGCGGCCAGGTGTTGCTTACAGGTTTAACATCATTAACTGTGAAAAGACCAATAGCCAGTTTAACTATGGTAAGGCAATTTTCTTTCCTAAGTTGGAGGACATAGAAGTGTTACATCTGTAGGACAGAAATTTTTTGGAAAAAATTACTAACTTAAAAAAAGTTTGTTTTCTTTTGTTTTCTCTGGTTCTCAAAATTCAAATATTTGTTATGCAAAATTTGAAATAAACTAAGCTTTGCTTTGTTGGTAAAGAGAGTTACCTTTATAGGCAAGCCCTTTGAAATGTGTTAAGTATGGTTGATTTCATCCAAAATGAATACCACTAAAAATTTATTATATATGCTGCTTAAAATCAAGTTATTCATGTCAGTTCACGTAGAAGAGAATTGCATAAAGCAGTCTTTTTTGAACTTTTTATTTTGAATAGATTCATAGAAAGTTAAAACACTGTGGAAGTTGTAGAAATGTTCCAAGACCTCTTCTCTAAGAGTTCTCCAGTGATAACATCATACACGACTGTGGTCCGATACCACAGCCAGCATTTGACGTTGGTGCCGTGTGGGTGCGTGATTCTGTGCCACTGTGTCACATTTATAGATTCTTGTAACTGCCACCACAATCAAGATACAGAACACTTCCGTCACCACCAAGCCTTGTGCTGCTCCTTTAAAGTTCACTATTCAGTATGATGTTAGCTGCAGTTTTCTGTGAATTTTTAAGTCTAGTTGAGGAAATTTCTTTTCAATACTAGTGTTCTGAGACTTTATTGTGAATGGATATTAAATTTTGTCATATACTTATCTGCATCAATTTAATTGGATCATGTGATTTTTCTTCTTTAGCCTGTTAATATAATACATTGATTTTTGAATATTGAACCATCCTTTTTTATCTATGTAATAAACCACACTTGGTCACTGTGTATAACTGCTAATATTTTGTTAAGAATTTTTAAAAAAAGATTTTATTTATTTATTTTTAGAGGGAAGGGAGGGAGAAAGAGAGAGAGAGAGAGAAACATCAATGTGCGGTTGCTGGGGGTCATGGCCTGCAACCCAGGCACGTACCCTGACTGGGAATCAAACCTGCGACACTTTGGTTCACAGCCTGCGCTCAATCCACTGAGCTACGCCAGCTAGGGCTTGTTAAGAATTTTTGTATTTATTTTCAAAAGGGATATTGAGCAATAGGTGTGGGTTTTTTTTTTTTTTTAAATGTGTCTGGTTTTGGTGTATCATGGTAGTACTGAGCTTGTAATAGTTGTTGGGAAATGTTCCCTCCTCTTAGTTTCTGGAAGAGCTTGTAGAAATTTGGTGTTGATTCTTAAACATTTGGTGGAGTTTTCTAGTGAAATTATTTGCGCCTGAAGATTTCTTCTGGTTTTGGTAGTCTTTTAAATGAGAAATTCAGTTTTTTAAAATAGTTTTAGGATTATTCACATTATTTTATCCTGAGTGAGTTGTGGTAGTTTGTGCTTTTTAGCTTTTTAGGAAGTGATCCATTTCTTCTAAAGTGTCAAAATACGTGGAGAGTTCTTCCAGAGTTCTCTCTTATGGTCCTTTTGACATCTGCAGGGTCTTCAGTGACATCCCGTGTTTCATTCCTAACAATGGTGATTTGTGTCTTCTCTTTGTTTTTCTTTGCCAGCCCTGCTACGGCTTGTCAATTTTATTGACATTTATAAAGAAATAGCTTTTTTTTCATTGGCTTTCTCTATTGTTTTCTCATGAGACAATTTTTTAAAACTCTGGTATTCTACCAGCAAAATTATTAAATTTATAGTCTCATTTAACTCTGTGTTTAGCACTTAAATAAATATAAAACTGAGAGTTATTTGTCACACACCAGTCTTTACAGTCAAATATTAAGTCAGTGGAAAATAATATAATTATATAAACTTAAAATCAGTAATTTAAAATTGAAACATCAATTTTCAAGTATTTAATCTCATAATTTTGGGGTTAAAAGAAAAGAATTCTTTTTCTGTCGTCAAAAACTCACTTACATTGGGGATTGAGGGAAATCAGATATGTATGATAAGTTTCAAAATCTCAGCAGTCTCAGGTTTGTTGTGACGATGAAAAGGTTTTTTTCTTTTTTAGTCCTCATCTGAGGACATATTTTTTTTCATTGCTTTTGGAGAGAGAGAAAGGGAAGAGGAAGGGAGAGAGAGAAACATGGACTGACTGCCTCTCTCCCATATGCACCTGGACCTGGGTTCGAATCTGCAACCTTTGGGTTACAGGGCACTCCGACCAACTGACCCACGTCACCAGAGCAGGATGAAAAGCTGTTCTGAACAGCTAAGGCATGAGACACTGTGTTATCTGTTCTCAGCTGTTAAAAGCATGCATATGATGATGCTCTTTACAGGGGCATTTCTGAGAATTGAAGCTTTCAGGAGTTGAAGAGGTTGTTCCCAATTTGTCATTTTTTGTGTGGAAAATAGAAAATCGTATCCTCTAGATAATTACTTTATATGTATGACATCAAAACTTTAGTCAGATTCACTAATTTAATGTAATTATAGAAAGATTAGGTAGCATAATATCTGGCTTAGTTATAAACATTTTAAAACGTTTTTTTAATAGTTATTTTTATTGTGTTTTTTCTCTACCATTTATTCCTCTTACACTCCCTTCCACCTCCAACCACTCCCGCCCCACACTCACCACACTGTTGTCTGTGTCCACGAGCCTTTTCCTTTTTTCCTCGAGCCTTCCATCCTTCCCCCCGCTGTCAGCCTGCTCTCTATTGAGGAGTCTGTCTCTGTTTAACATTTTTAAAGGTTTTAAAAATGTTTTAAGTAATCTAATTTTAAGGATTCAGTGGTTTTACTGATTTGCATGAATAGTGATATGACTAATTTTGATGATTATTTTGCATTCTTTATTTTTGATTTTTAAATATAACTGCTAATCATTGAGTGTCATGTTTCTTAGAAACATTTGTTTGTAGACCTTAAATGTTCATATAACTTTAAATATTACCTTAATTGACTAATTCACCACCCAAACAAGTAAAGATTCTTGTGTTTTCCCTGCTTAACTTGTAAGTATAATGTTGTTATACTTAATATTTTAGAGGAGAAAAAGACAATTGAGTAAAATAATTGTATTTGCATTTTGAGTGCTCCTTAAGCATAAAATATAAAGGCATATTTACTGCTGAAAAGATAATCAGTAAAATTTTCAAATTGTAGTAGTAACTACAAATTAGTGGTAACTACAAATTAGTAGATGGTGTTTTTACTAATTATATGTATACAATTTTATAAAATAATACTCAGCACTTTAAATTTCATTAAATATTTCAGTTTTTTAAATTAAAAGCATACATTTTGGAATGCTTTCTATTTTGAAAAAACTTGTACCTCCATATTATAAATAAAACAATCTCCTCACTTAGTGCTGTTCTAAACTTAAAGTGAATATAATTCTACAACTAAAACTCAAAGCAATGAGACAGATGGCTATTTATTTTAAAAAATGTCTCCTCCTTCCTACCTACCCCTTGTCCTCTGGATGTTCTTATATGTGTATCACATTTTCCAAAATCACTTTGTGGAGAATTTGGAAAACAGATTCCTGTTAAGAAGAAAATTAAAACTATCAACAGTGCATCAATTTAATCACTTTAACATTTGTTTTCTTCCAGTCTTTTTTATAATGCAATATGTGATTTCTACATATACAGAGTATATATTTATTTAAAAAACATGAGGCTCATGACCCATGCAGTTTCATAATTTGTATTTTAACCAAACATATTGTCAACATTTTTCTGGGCCTTGAATATATGTCTGAAACAGTTTAATGCACTTTCTGTGGAGGTACTGTAACTTATTTATCCAAACCTTTCTTTGTTGGAAATTTGAGTTGTTTTCACTATTTTCTACCTTAAATAATGCTGAGATAAACATTTAACTAGATATTTGTGTAGATAATTATTTAGTTACAAATTCACAGAAGTGGAATTTTTTAATCTGCTAGCTGTAAATGTGTTTTCTTTTTCTGATTATGAAACAATGGATCTTTAATATAGGAAACTTGGTAAATTAAAAACAGTTTAAAAGACTCGAAGGAAGGAAAGATAAGAGAAAATCTACTGTTTAGTATTATTTTTCTATCCTTAAAATATTCATATTCACATAATTTTAAATTTAAATTTTACCCTTTTATAAATTTGGGATTATAGTATTAAAGCTTCTTTGTAAACTATGTTTTTACCACACATTATATAAAAATATTTCCCATGCTATTAAATATTTTCAGCAACATTATTGCTAATAATATCTGTACAATATTCTATTGAGTAATGTACAATAATTTAAATAATAATTTGATGGGAATTTCTTTTTCAACTTTTCAAAATTACAAATTGTTCTGCATTCAATATTTGTAATTTTTGCTTTTGCATATGCTTCTGGTTATTTTTTTTTGTCATAAATTTCTCTAAGTAGAAGTTCTCAGAAAAAACGAATGTATATTGCTGAAGACTAGGGAAGATGGGAACTTGCAGTGCTGGTGGGAGCATTAAATTAGTTCAGTCTTTTTTTGAAGTGCATTTGATAGTATGGCTTCAGTGTTTATACTTACCTTAATCCATCCTGGATTTATTTTGGTATATTTAGTGAATTGAGATCTAACTTAATCATACTATTAGTAGTTAAACTGAACTCATTCTTTTTCCAAAGAGCTTTAAAATGTTTTTTGATGAATTTGTGGAGTAATTTGTCAAACATTCACATTTATAACTGATTTGCAACTCCGTGTCTGACCCACTAGTAAAAGCAGGGCGGGAAACCTGGAAGACGTGGTACATTGTTGCTCTCTGTTGTAGCTGTTATAGGGAATGGTCAGGTTAGTGAAAACATTAGGTTAGATTAGGACCTGGTTGGAAAGGTATCACTGTTACTTATAGTCCCTGACTTTTTGAATTTGGGTTGAACTATTCAGACCTCTTATTCATATATATGTTCCCCTTGTACTGAAACACAGTTCTCAGACACTATGGTTTTAGCTGTACACTAGTATTTGTTTGGTGGCTCTTTGTTGCTGTAGTACCTC